TGCGTACAATTGTAGTTTTGTTTCCCGTCTAGGCTGCTCACAAGCAGACCAGGAGCAGAGACAATAGGGACAGCTTTTAAAAGAGGGGAAAGTATAAATTTGACATTGACTAGGATGCGAAGAACGTTGTATAAATTGAATTATTGATGAGATGAGAAGGGTATAATATTCCAAATCCAACATGACACTCTGTTAGCCAGGTCGTTCTCTGGTCCTCTCGCGCTCTGGTCTCCGTCTCGTCTGGGTCTCGCGCAATCGGGGCTCTCGCTCTCTGGTCTCTCTCGCTCATTCTGGTCCCGTCGCTCTCCCTCTCTTCTCTTCTCTGGTCGCGCCCTCGGTTCACTCTCGTGGTCGCGCTCTGGTCTCGATCGGGTCTCGCGTCTCGGGTCACGCTCGGAGACTCTCGCTCTCTCGGCCGCTCTAGGGCCACTGCTTTCTGGTCACGCTGGTCTCTCCTCTGAGCTAGCTCTCGCTGGGTCCCTCTCTGGGCACCTCTCGGTCCTCCTCTCTCTCGTCTCACATCTGGGTCACTCTCTGCTCGCTCTCGCTCGGTCTCTCCTCTGGTCTCTCTCGCTCGGGTCCCTGTCTCTCTGGTCTCGCTCTCTCTCTCTCTGGGCCGCGTCTAGTCTCTCTCTGGTCTCTCTCTTTGTCGCTCACTGGTCGCTCTCTGCTCTCTCTCTGGTCTTTCTCTCTGGTCACGCTCCTGGTCCTCTCTCGCTGAGCTCTTCTCACCGTAATAATTCCACATGCAAGCGTGTTGCGATATGGCCTTAGATGACGTTTGGCATTACCCAGTAAAGAGTCGTAAACACAGCCACCTAGGTGAAAAACATGTGAGTGGACAAGGCGTGGGGTGGGTCGCCCCGGGTGGTTCCGGCGGATTCAAACAGGTGCGGCTTCCAACCTGACGAAACCAACAGAATCACGTTAATGGGTGTGATAACCGGAAAGAGACCACAAGAGAAAGACTAATACGTTAAATGTAGTTTATGACTTGTATTTTGATGGAGGACGTATGCTGGCACGCCTCTGAATAGTAGCATTCTGACTTGGTGTCATCTGCTTCTTTCACTGCCTTGGTCAAACGAATCCCGGTTCAGTGAAGTTGTGTTACAGCCACCCCTCTCCATCCAGGTGCTTCGTGCTTAGGGGGACAGCGACTTGCCGGGCAGTTTTGGGAAGATGGCTTACCCTTGCGCTCGGACTGGCCGCCCAGCAGTGGTGCAGGAGAGGCACAGGCTTCAGTCCTCAAATGACGTGCGGGGCCCATGATGTGTTAGGAGGGTTGTGTTGGCCTGAAGCACCTTCAAAAAAATGTAAGTGATTTGGTTAAACGGGTTCATGGGATAGGTTGTATTGGGCCGGTTGGGAATCTTCTCAACAGGAAACTGCAGCAAAATTCTGCGTCGGGACAAGGTGTGTGTGGGCGTACATATTGAGTGTCCCAGGTGACCAAAGTGCGTGGTGCGATTACCATGGCTCTATGACTAATACCTGGACTATGGTATTGCTTGTTGATTGCTGAAGAACTCATTGTGACGGGGGGCTTCTCGCAGGTCCTGCAGGACTAACCCAAGACTAAATTCACGTGGGACTACCCCAGAAACTTTCCCATCGAACTCAATGTCAAGTCAAACCAGCACGACCTCAGCTGACAGAGAACCTGACAAGAACCGACAGCGGTCTGAAAAGATCGGATTTTGTGTGGGATTTTAAGGGTCCCTTGGGGTCAATTAAAAGTGAAATAAAAGAACTTGGCTGATTAGTGCCCCTACAGAAGAGTCAAAGTTTTCCAAGTTTTCATACTGGAAAACTCTGAAATATCTGTAGGGGGCGTTAATGAGCCCTAGTTCAATTATATCCACTTCAAATGACCTCGACCCTAGAGTGTGATACCATGGATTCAAGTTTTGTGCAAAAAATCGGAATTTGTATGTGTAAACGGGTGCAAATAGAAGGATTGTGAAAAACGTCCAATAAACACTCACTATTTTGCCGCTCCGCTGCTTCACACTACATTCACTGATCAAAAAACCTTGAGGTCCTTTTGATGGTAAATGTGTTTAGACAATGGTGGAGTGATATGATCCATCGTGAAACGGCCGAGGAGGGAGTCGCTTTCCAACCGACATGTATGAAAACTTTGCTGTTCATTTTTCCATTTTGCACGTGAAATTTATGGGCCTCCTGTTTGTCAGAGGGCGTAGCCATGATAACATTTCGGGTCGTATCTTGACTTGAGGAACATGTGTACCGAATTTCATGCTCTACGACAAACTTGACCTCTAAACTCCCATTGGCTGTTGTAAGGTGGCGCTGTTCTGGGCATTTTTGAGTCCCATAAAAATAACACCCAAAATAATCAAATTTTTCACCAGTCTTGATGTTTGGTCAAAATTTTACAACTTTTTCTCATGTTCATGGTTGAAAAAAGGCTCATAGTGCAGAATTAGACATCTCTCTCGAGCAAAAACAATAGGCCCCTTTCCCCCGTTCGGGGGTTCTACCGGGCCAATAATAACCCCCATGAATTTTTCAGAGTGTCAATTTTGACTAGAGCTTGAAATTCGGTACACATGTTCCTCAAGTCAAGACATGGAAAAAATGTTATTATGGCCCCGCCCTCGGAACAAAACAGGAAAGCCCATAAAATTTTCACTGCAAAATGGAAAAATGAAACAGCAATTCATTTCAACCTTAGGTTTGAAAGCGACATCATCCATCGGAACGTTTCACCCGATTCGCCTCAAAATCGCTCCACAACATCTCAACCCATGTACCTTGAAAATGACTTCGTGATTTTTCATCAGATAAACGTTGTTCAAACAGGGAGCCTGCAATTGTGGACCTTTTTTTGGCCGTTTTGGACAATATTAAATTTGCTTCCCGTTTGCACATACAAATTCTGATTTTGCACAAAACATTAATACCATTGTTTTAACTCTAGGTCTAGGTCTATTAAAAGTGAAATTAAAAAACTTGGCTCATAGTGCCCTACAGATGGAGTCAAAGTTTTCAGAGTTTTTCATACTAAAAACCTCTGAAATAGTCTGTATGGGTCGTAATTATCATAGTTCAATTATTTCACTTTTCAAATGACCTCGACCCAAGAGTTGAACCATGGATTCCAGTTTTGTGCAAATCGGAATTTGTTGTGTAAACGGGAGCAAATAGAAGGTTTGTGAAAAACGGCCAAGTAAACACTCACATTTTGCCGCTCCGCTGCTGCAAAACAACAGTTTCACTGATTCAAAAATCCTTGAGGTCCTTTAGATGTACATGTGATTAGACATGTGGAGTGCTATGGAGGCCAATCGGTGAAACGGCCGAGGAGGAGTCGCGTTCAACCGACATGTTGAAAACTTTTTGCTGTTCATTTTTCATTTGCAGTGAAATTTATGGGCCTCCTGTTTGTTGGGCAGCCATGTAACATGTCGTATCCCATGACTTGAGGAACATGTGTACCGAATTCAGGGCTCTACGACAAACTTGACCTCTGAAACTCCCATTGGCTGTTGTAGGTGGCGCTGTTCTGGCATTTTTTGAGTCCCATAAAAAAAAAACACCAAAATATCAAATTTTTCACCAGGTCTGAAGTTTGGTCAAAATTTTATAACAACTTTTTTTCATGCATGTTTCACGGGGGTGAAAGTAAGGCTCAAAGTGCAGAATTTACATCTCTCGAGCAAAAACAATAGGGCCCTTTGCCCCGGTCGGCTCTGGCCAAATAATAACCCCCATGGAATTTTTCGGAGGTCTAAGTTTGTCGTAGAGCCATGAAATTCGGTACAACAAGCGTTCCTCAAGTCAAGACATGAAAAAAATGTTATTATGGCCCACGCCCTCTGACATACAGGAAGCCCTTAAATTTCACTGCAAAATGGAAAAATGAACAGCAATCATTTTCCATACATGTCAGGTTGGAAAGCGACTTCACCCTCGGACCGTTTCACACCGATTCGCCTCAAAACTTCGCTCCACATCATCTCAACACCATGTACCTTGAAAATGACTTCGCGATTTTTTCATCAGTGAAACGTTGTTCAAACAGTGGAGCTGCCAAATTGTGACCTTTTTTTGGCCGTTTTGGACAATATTAAATTTTTGCTCCCGTTTGCACATACATAGTCTGATTTGCACAAAACTTTAATACATTGTTAATCTCTAGGGTCTATGGTCAATTAAAAGTGAAATAAAAGATACTTGGTCTCATTAGTGCCCCTACAGTTGGAGTCAAAGTTTTCAGAGTTTTTCATACTAAAAACTCTGAAATAGCGGAAGTGCTATCCACTCAGCCACCGATCAAAAAACCTTGAGCCATCCGCCGCCGCCTGTCCTTGGTACAACAACAAACCAATCTCTACGCCCGTAAACACTGCAAAAAAATTATAATCGAGTGTTTTTTTTTTTTTTTTTATCTCAATATAAGTACATTCTGACTGTCTTTCTAAAAACAAGATTTGCCAATAGAACAAAGCCCAGAATGTTGATTTTTTTTCATCCCAAGGGAGACATTGTATATTTTTCAAACAATATTATTTTGCTTGTTCCATTGACAAATCTTGTTTTAAGGCTATCCAAAACATATACAATCAAAATTAGCGCTAACTGAGAATACATTTAGGTCAAATTAATTTCAACTACTGGCCTATCCTAGGTTTCCTGCACTCAAGCAACCCCAGTAAACTTGCCAAACTCCTAAGCGAGTTTTTCACTGACTCATTTTTCCCCATTGCACAGTCACTATTTGTCTATTCGACAGCCGGCTTGGGACCCGCATTCTCTATTCCAACAGGGCCATCTCAGGGATACACAAGCAACACAGGAAGCCAGGATATTTTTGCAGTGACCGATGCATGCGCTGCGGAAATACTACAGTCTTTCGAACTTGGACTGGCATTTCATCTCTCTAAAGTTGAAGCAAATTGCGCGAGATTATCTGAGTGGTTTTCCTTATTATGTAACCAGCACCAGGACAGAGAAGGTGTTCATTTTAAAATTCAGAAGTTGGTGGGAGTGAGTTTGGGTGGTTTTAGACACACCTGGAAGTCCCGGTCTCTCACAACGACAGTATTGTGCTGCCGGCGGCTGCAGACAGAGCTGAGGTTTGGGAGCTTTGCATAAGAGGACTTTCCCCCTTCTCCTGGCGATCAGAATTTCATGAACTCCAAGAGTGTCCCGGGTTTCTTACCTCCCGTGTCAAAGTCAACATCGTCCTCGTCCACGCTGACCACGTACCCACCCGGGGAGAGGTGAGGGTTGCTGGGGGGAGGAGGGTAGACGTCGATAACTTCAAGGGGAACCTAAACACAAAGAAATATCCATGGATGATGCAGTACCAATGATCCATGTAATTGAGAATATAGTTGGGCCAATCTGTGGACATAATGGTTCAATTCAGTTCAATTTGTTTTTGTATAGCCCTAAATCACAGCTGTAGTCGTCTTTCCAGACCAGAAATAATGGTGGAGATAGAGAAAAGCACATGCAAAATATTGTGGTTTTATTTAAGGTCAAAAATAACTAATGCAAGTCAAATCTATAGACCTGAAAGTAATTTAGAAACGTGAAACCAGAGAAGTAATGCCACACACATTGGCAGTCAATCATTACAATACAAAGTGCATGAGAAAATAAGGAACTCCCTTAGACGCTGCAAATGGTAATGAATTAAAACAGTCTTCTTTAGTTTAGCAAATGGCTAGGAAGGTAACCGGGAAGGCTAAACTCCTCAGACTGTCAGTCAAGCTGCATAGGGAGCCCCCTGCTGGAGAAGTATGGTAACAGCACTATCCTCTCCTCCTTCCTACTTTACCTGTTTAGCATTATTAGGATTTTGACTGTAGTTTGTTCATTGCTATACACCCGTTGTCCCATTGAATGTTTCATGGTACGACAACGGGCCTCCTCCATCTACACCTGCGGACTGCCCCGCCCGACCCGCCTGGGAGTGCTTCAGTCCTGCACCGGACCTGTCCACGTTCAGCGGCCACTGGTCCACGTTCTGTAGCTTAGGTCCTGGATCTACAGCCTGTCCGTCCTTGGGAGCGGATCCATTTCTCAAACTATGGCTCTCCCCGAGTTTTTCCTTGCCGATGCAGGAGGGTCTGTTGGGCAGTTAGTGTCCAACTAGAAGGACTGTGCTGATCCAGGACACTTTAACATTCTACATGTATGACATTTATCAACATGTGTTCTATATTCTTTCTGTGTCTTAACTGTTGATTCTCTGATCTGTGTTGGTGATTTCAATGGTATTTTAAAGTCTCTGAGATGACTTCTGTTGTGATTTAGAGAAATACAAGCTCTTTGATTCTCCGATCCGTGTTGGCGAATCGACAGCTTTTTATAGTCTATACAGAGACACTATACATACATATATTGAATTAAATTGAATTGAGTAGTGTGGACCATTGAAATACATCTCGAGCAGGAATTGCATCTTATTTGGTGAGTCAAATCAAAATACACATTAAACTTTACAACAAGAAAACCACATATGCATTATAGTCCGTGATGTCACCATGTTTGGCTCTGCAATGACCCCAAATATGCATCTTTCTCGACCACAAACTGCTCTGGATACAACGTAGTTTCAAAATCGTTAAGTATGAAACCCATGACACAGAACTGCCAATTTAAGCGCCGCCTTTTAGTAACTGATCTTTGGGAGTAAATATAAAACATATTGCCACACAAGCAGACATGGTTCCCCAGGGGCCATGTTCAGAAAGCACAAAAGAGATCGGCGAGATAGTTTCCCAATTTTTACCAGATGCATTTTGCTTCAAAGATTGTGTAATTAAAGAAACGTGAAAGGGGAAAGTATGGGGGTTTTTGTATTTTGGTCAAATCAAAAAGGTAGTTAATCATATACAACAAAATAAAACAGATTGAGACAGTAATAAATGTTGCTTTGTCCAAAATTAAATCAAATTTGAATGTTGTGGTACAAAATGTCCCACAATATTAGGAAGATAAATGTCTCCCACTGGGTTTTTAGAGTTGGTTCTTCCCGATAGAAGCCTGAGGACAGTGGTGAAGGTCCAGGTGAACACTGGTCATCTGCCCCCTATGGAATGATGGCTCTATGTGTTTTTTATCAATGCATTTCTTGTTTGAACTGTCCTCAGAGATAACTACTGTTGTGATTAAGGGCTATACAAAAACAAAATAAATTGAATTGATTAAAACGGTCTTGCTTCAGGCTTGCCCAACGGCCTTTTATACATGTAAATGTCTGTGGATCCACAACAAGAAACAAGTAATTGAATCGAATGGGGAGGAAAAGCAATGGTCATGTCTGAATCTCATTTAAATAAAACTTTGGGGACGAGATGAGAAAAGAAATAGTTTAAAATATATATAAAAGGTCATAAAATCCTGTCTCCTTTCTCTAGTCTAGTCACACGTCAGTAGGGATGTAAATCGGCGACCGGTTAACCGGTGGTTGACCGTCACAGCGTTAACCGGTCAAAGCTGTCGGTTAAAAAAGAGAAAAAGGGGAGAGGGGAGGTCTCTTAATAACGCTATTTTAAGCCCTATTTTCACAGTGTGACGAGCGGGTCTGTATCTAGCTGTGTGCGCCCATGTATTATAAACTCCGGGACGACTCTCACGCCGCACGAGCCACATATGCACACGCACGCGCGCGCGCACACACACACACACACACACACACACACTTTCCCCCTCTCCATACGTAACATCCACACGCATCATCTCTCCCCTCTGTTACCGTCAAAGTTGCACACTGGCGCGGGTCAGAACTACATTGGAGCTTACATTTACACACACACACATACACACATACACACACACATACCGGTCTGTCGCGCTCCTCTGTGTCACGGAGCCCAAAGGATTCGCGCAAATACGCAGCTCCAGTCAAACCACATGGAACATGTTTGTGTTTATGGTCCTCGGGATCAGCTCCACACACATCACTTGTATTTAAACTTTTGTGAAGACCTGTGAGACGCGGCTCGTCACTCGCTGCTCTGACCATGTGAACGAGCCGTCGTTTGCTGCTAGAAAGTTTTGGTATTAACCCGCAGCACAGCAGAATGGGAAGATTAAAAAAGCAGTTCTCTGTGCGCAAAGGTGCCGGAGCTGTTGCGGGTTTGGGCGCCGCTGTCTCAACTCTGATCCAGTAGAACGCAGAGCTGCACTTATGAAAAGTACGCGGCTCGAAATGGCTGTTATTTCAAAGAACGTGGACTATTTTAAACTACGCGGTTAACCGGTTTCAACCGGTTAATGAGGCTCGGTGGTCGGTCATGAAAAATCATAGTTTTTTACATCCCTACACGTCAGTCAGTCTGATTATTGGCAGCACCAGGATGCACAGACCCAGAATACTTTGGCTTTAATTTTCTGCTGAGACCTGATATTAAGAAACGTATAATGACAACTCCACTGAATTGTTTTTACCTGTGGCTGTTCTGGATGCTGGTTCCTTGTGTCTTCCGATGGAGGGGGAGGAGCATACAGCCTGGGGGCCACCTCAGGCCTCTCGCTGGGCTCCGTCACCGGTAAGTCCTCGGTGCTCTCTGTGAAGGGGACCCGGGTGAGAGCCGGTTCCACGGGACCTGATGGGGCTTCCTCCACTGCTGCTGGCTCAAACGGACCCGCATTGGTCAGAGGGTATTCGTCATCCTCGACTTCATCTGGGCTGTAGGTGGCGTCTGAATATTCCTCAAACTCTGCGTACTCTGGAGTGGTAGAGTCCTTTGAAAGACAAGAAAATATTAGGGGGGGCAAAAATGTGACAATTCGCTAATGTAACAGCCCGGTTCTATTGTGATCATATATCCATCCATTTTCTACCCTTTAATCCATTTCTGGGTCAGGGGGGTGGCACTCAGAGATGCCACCCAAGTCTCATAGCACCAGCCCCTCACTGCCCTCTGCAGGTGGTGAGTCCACAGGAGGACGGCTGCTCTGAGTGTGAGCATAGCCTTGATCTTTCAGCGGGGGCTTTGGGCAAAGTTGGGTTAAGTGTCTTGCCCAAGGACACAACGACAGCAGTCATCAGTGGGAGTCGGTGGAGAAGGTGCAGAGGTGGGAATTGAACCCACAACCTTCTGGCCTTAAGGCCAATGCTCTACCAACTGAGCTACTGTCGCCTACTGTGATCATATATAAAATAAAGTATTGAAATTTGATATATATTGCGATTCAGGTCCCTCATATTATTCAAAGGCATTACAAACATTTGGGAAATTAAAACGGCTCAAATCAAATATCACATTTATTATCGTCTGCACATTAACTGAAGGGCAAAAACTGAAGAGGGTAGAGCAAAAATGTTATTCTTGAACATTCAGGACACAGGGAGCTTCCAACTCAAACTATTCAAACACAAGAGACAAAATACTGAATTAAAAACTATCGATTTAATTGCCTGTGCTTAAAATTGCAATACTGAACAGAATACATTTTTTCCCCCACCACTACAAAATACATCATCAGAGCTTGAAAAAAAGAGCTTGTATAATAATAATAATAATAATAATAATAATAATAATAATGATAATAATGATACTAATAATAATAATAAAACATCCAACTTATATAGCCCTTTTTTGGACACTCAAAAATGTATAAGATCAGGGGTCGGGGGTTACCAAGCCAAATTCATATCCTTGCGCTGGAGGAGTGGCCAGAAGTCCACCGAAAGAGGCCGGGACGATGTTGCCAAAAGAGTAACGATTTCCAGTGTGGAAAAGCCAGATTCCAGGGATTCCAGTATTTCCAACCCTTGGGAGAGAAAGAAACATGATTTAAATGTTAATTAAGTTAGAGTTTTGTGAATCTATCTATAGCCATAAACTACCCTCTCCTAGGAGCGCTCCGATCACACACTCATTCATCCACATTCACACCTCTCGACCGTAGACTGAAGCGCTGCCAGCGGGGTCACCAGGCTGGGGTCACCAGGCTGGGGTCACCAGGCTGGGGTCATGGCCCTGGCTCTCCATGTCAATCATCGGGGTAATTTGTGAATGGAGTTGTCAAAACATATTGTCAAAAATACCTCCGAAAAGTAAACGCCACTCTATTGACCGGCCAACAGGTGAAATGTTGATGAATTCTAATGACTAATTCTTTTCGCATACAGTAATTTACTAAACATAAAAACTGAACGGGTGGACCACTGCAGGACTAAAGCAGGTCCTACATGGAAAAAACAAGAAAAAAGTAAGGTTTTTGAGAAATCCTTCATTCGTCCCACAGCTGGGAAAATTCAGAACACACAATGGCTGGGAACAAATCCGTATAAATATATATTGATTTTTAAACAATTATATACAATAGCCATTTTTTAGTTAGTAATAAAATCCTGGTGGTTTTTTATATACAAATACATATATTGTTGATAAATATTGATGTTTTTATACATTGATATTTTTATGTAATCCAATTTAATCTAAAAAAATATATATAAAAACATGAATAATGCCGGGATAGGGGCTGGTGCTGTGTGGACTCAGAACCCAGAAATGGATTAAGGGGTAGAAAATGGATGGATGGATAATGCCGGGATGTGGCAAAGCATTACAGATTTGTATTGCACTGTTTAGAACCATGTGTTGTATCAAATCCAATTGAAAGGCCCATGTGTCTATATACAAATCGTGCCAAGATATGTATCCTATCGACAGAAATACCCAGCCCTAATGCATGTATAATGAGAAATACATACTATCTATTGCCAGTATGTATAACCTACAGTATGCATTACCATGAAGACAATTATAAGATGGGCTTTGGGTGTGTGCTGTGCAACATCTATCAAACTTAATTACAGTTTTCTACTCACTGGTGCAGATTTTTAACACTCTGCTCATCACTTGTCACGCTGTAGTGCGGCCCCTCCGTTCTTGTAAACAGGAAAAAAGCCACTTCTCCTCTGCTGAAGCCCACTCTGGCGGGGAGCTCGATCTCCACGTTATAGGACTCCTTTGAAACGCAACAAAGCAATGCAAAAGAATCGGGATATTAACGCAACCGCACACACAATGCCTTTCCTGAAATGCTTACCTTTGGCCTGGTTCCAAAGAAATTCAAGCCATCGCCGGGGTAGAGAAAGACAACATAGGAGTCGGTCTCGTCGTAGCCGATTACAGCCTGGAAAGTGTTGACCTGCGAGAGGGGAAAAAACAATGTGTCATTCATTGGAGAACAGAGGTACCAGACGGGAGAGCAGCTGTTTAGACGGCTGTAATTCTAGTGTCAGTGCACACAGTCATCTTTACTCAAGTGCCCGCTAAATCTATTAACACCCAGACCTCATGTTTAAACTTCACACATATTCTGCAGCTCTCCTCCCCCGTCTCCTCCTCTTCCTCTGCGATCGTGTCAGGACTTCTCACCCCTGACACTGGGTTCGTCCCCCACTGCCATTTGACACACTGACCTGAACTAGCTCAGGCTTTGACAGTGACTTTAAATATCAACATTTGACTTAAAGTAATGTTTGTTTATATAGCGCATTTTACAGACCAAGGCACAGACCCAAAGCGCTTTACAATGTTCAGAGTCAGATATTGTTCCAATCCTTCCACACACGGTGATGACAGAAGCGAGTCCAGAACACACTGGACCATCAGCTCCAACACCATCCATTCACTCTCTCATTTACATTCAGACCTATTGTGCATGTTTTTAGTGGTAGGAGAAACCGGAGCACCTGGAGGAAACATACGCAGACACAGGGAGAACATGGAAACTCCACTCGGAAAGACCCTGTTCCGACCGGGATTCGAACCCGGCAACTTCATGTTGAGAGGCTTGACTGCTATCCACTCAGTCACCGTGGATCAGAATCAGAATCAGAATCAGAATCATTTTTATTGCCACGTAAGTAACAGGAGGTCACAGACTAAATTGCTTTGGCTCAGTGCAACAGTCAAAAAGAGATAATAAAAATAAGAATAAAAAACACTTCTAAAGAATAAATTTAAATTTAAAATAGAGTTACAGTTACTATTTACAATATACAAGTGCACATGGTGCACACAATGTAAGGTGACAGCAGTACAGTGAAGTAAAGTGACGTATGATGGGCAGTAAAGTGACTTTATAAAGGGCGGGGGGACAGGTTAAGAAGTGTTCAAGAGTCCAACAGCTCCATGGACTGGACAATGTTAGTAAATCTAGCAGGTTCAGCTCAAGGAAGAGGCAGAATGTTTGTCACAATGGATTTTTTTTCTCCCCCTGATATTTTACATACAAAATATATAAAAATCAATCCATAATAGTTGCATTATATAAAAGATTCATACAACAAAAACTGCAAACTAAAACCTTTCTTAGTTCCACAGTGGGGGAAATTATAATGCGTTTTTATTATGATTAAGAAAAGCAGAGAAGCCGTTTCACAAAAATCTGTTGGATAGATCTTTCTGATTGGATAAAACTCTGAGCTGCCGAAAGTCAGAGGGAAATACTGAAGAAATACTATACTATACTATACTATACTATACTATAGTAGAGCTGAACGATATTGAAGTAATATTAATTATTTTTTTCACATTCATATTCAGGTCTGTTTTTATAAAGTTGTGGTTAAGTGTTTATTTCTATCTCTCTATTTGTACACATTTATGTTATTGTTAGCATTTGGTAGCATTGTTAGCTGTATATCAAGTTATATTAATAGCAATATAGAAATTTGTCCAATTTGACCAAAGTAAATCCAGTTACCGGTACGTCACATGTGGGGTCCCACAGGGGTCGACTTTGGGGCCCACACTCTTTCTACTGTACATTAATGAATTTTGTAAACGATCCAAATGCATGAAGTGTGAACTCTTCGCAGATGATACAATTATCATTATGTCTGGGGAGAATGTGGAGAAACTTTTGGAAGAAGTAACTAATGAATTAAAAACAATTACAAACTGGTTCCGTGCAAATAAATTATCATTAAATCTAAAAAAAACGAAAGAAATTTTTTTTGGAAAGAAAAAAATTGATAAAACTGTGAACATATTTATTGATGATGTTCAAATTGAAAGGGTCCAGCAAAATGTGTTCTTGGGCGTGAAAAGATTTCCTGGAAACCCCATTTTAGTTATTTATAAGCGTAAGTTTCATCCCCTTTCAAACCAGGCAGACTTTGTATTTTTGTTTTCCTGTTTGTATACACCAGGTTTGATAATTAATCAGTTTTAAGATAAGATAAGAGAACCTTCATGCATCCCACAGTCGGGGAAATGTCAATGTTCAATGTTTTAGTATTTTTCCAGCGCTAGTTTTTAGCACTTATAGCAGTGAGTGAGTAAAGTAGTAGTTTCCTGGTGTTAAGTCCTGGTGTGTTGCTGAAATCAAAGCATTCCCCTTATTAAACAACACAAAAGAATGTTGGCAATATCACAACAATACTTGCCTTCACCCAGAGAGCTACTTTTATACTTAAGAAGAGGCAGAGAGCTACTTCTTTTCCCAGTCGTAGTAAAAAAATCAATGTAAAATTTACCATAATACTGTATAACCCTGTATTTATACTTATAATAGATATGTAATGACAAACAAATGTATTCTTTCAGGATCATTTGTTAAATTCTAAATCCTTTGGTGAGCTAACTGAAAGGGGCTGGCGAGCTACTGGTAGTTCACGAGCCACAAGTTGGAGCCCCCTGGCATAGAGCTGCACCTTTAATGGTGAGACCGAGCCCGATATGGGGTACAGTCAGTATTTTTCATCACATTTTTGCAATAATTAACAATACAATCTAAAATGTTTGGCGAGCTACTGGTGGCTACCGAGCTACAGGTTGGAGACCACTGCCTTACACCATAGTCAAAATACACAAATACAATCAAACAAAGCATTAGTTAGCCTACTGTATTTCCTAATCTGCAGAATGAGCTAATTTCGACTTGCGTACAGAATATCTTACTGCTACTTTTACATCAGACTTTTACTGCGGGACAAAGACTTCGGATTTGGAAACTTGTTGCCACCTTTATGCGGGGATCCAGTCTATAAAAGCAAGTGTTTCAATGTTTTTCTCTTTTCTCAGGTCCCATAATCTTTAGACACGTCTTCTCTCTCCCCATCTCATCCAGATGTGTCCACAGCTGTCTTCCTGTGTGTCTGGCCTTCTTTCATGATGATGTTGCAACGCGTAAACCAGACATTATCACAATAGCCTAGCATCGTAATGACGTCTAGCTTAAGCGCAACCGCACGCAGATGGTCCTTCCAACCCTATACAAGCCCAACGCATGTGTACGTATGCCTAATTATTTACATAAACATCTTTGAACCATCTTCTTCAAGTCGGTGGGAGGGGGGGATACTCTGGAGCCTATGGGCATGGGCTAATTAGTTAGGTGGGGGTCCGAAGAGACGGTGGAACTAACTCCGATTCTTCTGTCTTGGTTGTTATTGATGTTATATAAGTCGGCATGCTTTTTAGTGGCATCCAAATTTGTGAAACTGGGAGAGATAATGGTATGAATTAAGTGGTCTGACAGTAATATATACACTGTCAGACCACATTAATGATAGTAGTTGAATGTATAAAAGACAATAATGAAATATTACAGGTGGAAACATGTGCCAGGAAGATGGTCGTACGTCTAGACCTGGGGATTGTTCTTACATCTGTACAATTTAAAGTTTCTTCTGGACGGCCCTGGGTTCATGACAATGTTATTGCTTCACCACAAACATTCCAGTCTGGTCCAACACAATGTTAGAACAATAATAGCATAATTGCGTAAAAAAGTAGATAAAATGGGGGGAATTGTTTTAGTTATTTTTACAATGATTAATTTGAAGAAAGTTTCAGAATGAAAACAATGACAGATGCTAATGGAGAAAAAGTGCTGAAATACTTTGAGAATACTGTGAAACTACCACACTACAAATTCATTCATTTCATTATGGGGGTTTGTATGACCCTCGGCACGGTCCAGATGGTGTCACCGGCTCAACGTGAAGATTGCTTAAAGATGTTTATTACCATGCATTCACGGGAAAGGAATATCTCCATAGAGACCAGGAATTGCAGAACAAAAAATGAAGCTTTATAATGCTAACGGTAACATGGTCTGTGTGCGCTGCTCATGGCCTGAGGCAGAAGGCAAAGTCCACAACGGCTAATTCTACCACAACATTTCACTCTCCCATTCACTTATTGGTCATGTGCGTCTGGTTTGGTCCTGATTTGAGTCCAGTTTAGACCAGCTGTGATGTAGCTTCAGTCTGGCCCTGTTCTGTTATGCATTTCCACTGATTTAGTCTTTTTAGGTGGCATGAGCAATCACATCATAATCACTTTGAACTTCACTTTTAAACATGAGGTAATACTGTAGATGCTGGAATCAAGTGTTTTTTCATATTTATTGGAAAAAAATCGGATTCATTTTACCTTTCCAATGATCAAATTTGGCAAAATGTATCTTACCGGTAATTTGAGCACATTTTGACTGCCGTGAAACATGATCTGCCAATGGGACGAGCAAAATAATAAAAAATAATCTGGTTTAAAAAAGAAAGAAACCAAATGGCTTTGACCCATTGGCTAATCTTGTTTTAAAACATTCAGAATGTGCTCGAATAAAGATAGAAACAACTAAAGCAATTATGACCTCATATTTTAGCATTTTTAAAGTTTTTTTTTTTTTTGCTTTTCTTGTCCCATTGGGAAGCCTTGTTTTAAGGCAGTTAGAATGTGCTTTAATGAAGATACTTTGAGCTAAATTTGAGCCCTTTTTACTTCTTTTTTATCACTTCTTGCTGTGTGTGGCCATGCTTTTACACACTATCCTTGGCTCTCTATACACACAGCTGGAGGACTACAAATTGCTTCCAACACATCAAAGAGCATCAGGACCAGTGGAGAACTGAAGAGACTGAAGCTCGGAGACGTCTAAAAACTCCCCCCTTTAAACGTCCCGGGTCGACGTCTCTCTCTCTCCCCAGGGCGGTTTATCACACCTCTTTTAAAAGGGTGTCCCGTCCACAAAGGCAGGTTCTTATCCACACAAATGTTTGCTGTGTTGACTGTTTTGGAGCTGGAGGTGATAACAGCATCAGTCGGCCGCACATCAGGGGGTCTCCCAAAACACAACACAGCAGATTAAAGCAAACGCAGGAAGCGGATTGAGATAATGGCTCTTCATTCATTAAAAGGCACTTTGTTATTTCAACACTTACTTGCCAATTTCAATGTAAGCCCATGGCCTATAGGAGCACACCTGCAAGTGTCTACGGGGTTATTTTAGGGTTATTTTACGGTAGACTGGCTATGACAACTGTACCTGTCTGTCTGAGCCGGGCAAATAATTGGACTTGTAAAGTGACTCTGAAGATTGCTAATATAAGTCATTATTTTTGCAAGTACAATATTTTTAAATAATTGAATGTTCTCTCCTTGAAGAAAGCAAAGTTTTTAATGATGGTTGAGATTCAGTTTGATGGAAAAGGAGCCTAAAACAAGCTTCAAATAGATATAGTCAGTCAAAAAGTGATCCACCAAATGGTTAAGGAAACCATTAAACTGTAAAATATATTCGCTCATCTGTTTGGATTACATTAGTGTGATTTAGTCCATCCATCCATTTTCTTCCCCTTAATCCATTTCTGTGTTGGGGGGGTGGCCAGAGATGCCACCCAGTGCACAGAGCACCAGTCCCTCACTGATCCTCCCGCAGGTGGTGAGTCCACAGGAGCAGAGATCTTTCAGTGGGAGCTTCAGGCAAAGTGGGGTCTTGCCCCAGGCAAAGTGTCTTGCCTAAGGACACAACGACAGCAGTCATCAGTGGGAGTCGTGAAGTAGGTCTTACGGTGGGCTCGAACCCACGACCTTCAGGCTCAAAGGCCAATGCTCTACCAACTGAGCCACTGTCGCCCCGTGATTTAGTCCAATGTTGTAAATTCAAGTTAAAGCCATAGTATGTAAAATGTGCTCTGACTAGAGAGAAACACGATAACTGAGGCTCAGACTGAGGCGATAACTGATGTACTACAGGTCATGTGTACGTGCACTGCAAAAAAATATAAAATATGAAATTCTAATTGCCTGAATTAATAGTTTTTTCTCTTAATTAGACAATTCTGATTGACTCAAAACAAGATTTTCCAATGGGACAAAGCGATTTATTCTTATTTCAGGGTTTTTCATTCCAAGAGAGACATTTCTTGTATCATTTAAAACCAGATAACTTTGCTTGTCCCATTGGCAGTCAAAATGTGCTCAAATTTAGACACATGTAGCTATATTTGTGCAGCTTCTTTGCAGCGTGGAGACCAAACACATTGGATATTTGCTTTCTGATGGGATCTTTTGAAAATTGAATCAACCGTACAAGGCCATATATGATTTGTACATTATGATATTGTGTCTGCGGACAAAGATAAGGGACGTAGCTGTGAACGAACACGCAGTGCACCAACCATATCACACAATAATCACCCAGACTTGATCCTACTCTAGGAGAAGGGAGAGTTCTGTCTGCGAGGCTTACAAGCTGCATGTGGTTTTTCAATGTTTTTTGGCCGCAGTGCAACAGAAACCAGCGGAGTAGAGACAAGGAACAGCTGTGGACCAGTTGCCAGCCTCACCAGAGTGCGACCAACTGAGACGTCTGCAGCGTGGGAACCTCCAGAATATTTGTAACTACCAACATCACCGCAGTCCACAGTCCACTCCAAAAATACTTGGACATTTGTTCTCTCAATCTCTACAGTCACTTGCAGCATTGTTATGGAGTACTAAGCCATGTTATACTTCATTTTAAAGCTTAGTTTAGTGGAAAAAATAACCATATAATTGAATCTATTCTAAAATATAAACGAACATGTCATTTAGAAGTTAGTTAAGCCAAAGATGTTTTACTATCAACATTCAATTACGTATATTTTACATATTTGGCCCAGTTGTGATTGAATCTAGAATGAGTTCGACACCCCTGGTCTATCATCCCCCCTTCTTCCACAAATTCTGCATACAAAAATTCAGTTTAAACAAAATTTTGACACAGTGGGTCCTTAGCAAGATCATAAAGTAAAGATCTTTATAATCAAGTGGAAAATATATCTGCTTTTCTTAGACTCAAATGGTCGGTGAATTTGAGCCATGCTGCCGCTAAACCAGTAATTAGCAATGACGAGATGTTGCCATATTCGGTGGCCAGCCATTCCCACAATTCCACGGTGGACTTAAGGCACATATAAGCTCTTATTAGTGACTGTTTAAAATAAAATAAAATAGTCGTCGGCCAAAGAAGCAAGCGTAAACAGCTTCTTTGAATCCCGACGAGCATTTCAAGGGGTGCTCCATGTCACGGCAAGAGGTCCCTAAGAAAGCAAATATGCCTTGGACAAACATGTGGCCATTGTGCTGGAGAGAGGCGAGTTTTTTCTTGGGGAGCGTTTTGGCAAATTGAAACGGCCTTGGCTTTGTTATTTCAATTACAAATTTAAAGTCTGCCGTCATTTCAAACTCGTTTTAACGCATGGTATAGGAAAACTCTATAACCTAACCCTTTTACCTAATGTGCTAAGACTCCATGCAATAAACTGGTCAAGGAAAAGCATCCATTTAAGCTAAACCTTACTGATGACACACAGAAGGCCTTCAAGTAAATGGCTTTAGTCATTAGCAAACTCTTGACATAGTAGCAGAGACAACAGACTGTGTGTTTTCCCTAAAAAGGATGTAATTAAACGCCAATTATGATAGCAGCCCATCTAAGTGGCTAATTTCAAACAAAAACACATGTCTACTCGAGAAGTGTGAGAACCAATCTTCGACCCTTTGCCTCGCACTCGTCTCCAAATCACAGCAGCGACTGGGACCACCTTCCCCCCCTTTATTCCCAGTGTGGCGAACCGTGGTGACAGGAACACACCTATAGGTTAATCAGTTCACACAGACATACCAATGCGTGCCGCCACACCAATGATGGGAATTTTTAAGCAGAAAGGCATTTGGGGGAAAGAGTGTGTGTTGATAAGAGCAGAGATAGCTGTGTTTGAAAGTCCTTTGCTCCATGCGTGACTATTGAGTAACTATAACTTAAGCTTGATGCTAAATTTTGGCACAAAGTTATCAGTAGGGTCTTAAAATATATCACGAGCGCACAAATTCCTACGCAATTGTTCATTAATTGCACGCCAGCCCCTGAGCCTGAACAAACAAGTGACCAGTCTGGTAGAGCGTCTGACAATGAAATCTGAGACTGGTCAAATCTCTCACAGGGTTAAACAAAGCGCTCTAAATCTTGTCTGTTCTGCAATGGAGGTAGAGAAGAGGGAAGCCTTAAATGAACTCAGAGTAAAACTTTCGGTTTGCTGTCCAACCCACCAGCCCCTTCATCCCTCCATCCCACATGCTGTGCCCTGCCAACAACAAAGTCCCGTTTGATCAATACATCCTACACGCTTGTCTTTGCACAAGGGGCCAGGCCTAATCTTCCCCTCGCCATACAATGCTAAGCTAATTTCCACATCTGCATTTATTAACTTGGGGAGGAAGTGGCAGTTAATCCAAGCGTGAAGCCTTTTTAAACAAGTGGAACGGGGGCCACTCTGATGACCCCCAAAGATGACCCTAGACCCCCTCGGGAAAAGGTTAAGAGGCAGATTAGGGAGGGGGTCAAGGATTACAAATAAGACCCTCACTTTAGGAAAAATCACAAGTAATGCGCAGTTCCCAGGAATCTTGGTTTCTGTTCATGCAGCTGCTAATATCGCTCGTGCTTCATTCATTTACCTTGTTGGTGGGCCTTCTTTTGGGGTCGTCCTCATACGCCGCCACGTTCTCCCAGGTCGCCACGACAGCGTGAGTCGGTACGAACTTTGCATCTGGGAATCCTCTGTGCACTTCCTGTATGAGCAAATGAATGAATGAATGGAGACTAATGGAAATAGGCGAAAAAGCAGACCCAATGCAGTTATTAACAACAAGTCTAGCCTCTACTGAAACATATAAAACTTTTGCTTTCTTACCCGAGCCAGCCTGTTGAGCACCCGAGGAGTTTCAGTCACTCTGTAGTAGATTTGTCCTTGACCATTGCTTGTATCAATGTCAGCCAGGAAAGGCGCCACGACCGGAAAATCAGTGGGAAACCCATCATCGACGTATTGCTTCTCCATTGGGAGGTCCTGGGCTGAGATGATGCCGTTGGTAGCCACCTAAAGAGTTAGAAACAGAGACATATCATAACTATACTTACTTCTTTATTATGTTAAAGATATAGACTTTACACTAACTTCTTATTATGCAAAAGTCAGAGATGTTGTAATTATTGCTTGCTTCTTCATTATGCTGAAGTTGGAGATTTTATACTTGCTTCTTTTTATGCTTTAGTTAAAGTAGATTTCTTACTGTCTGCACCTCATTCCTACTGTTCTGTAACCAACCGGTGATGCAACATTAGGGTTAGGATTAGCTAACCAAGGCACAAGTGACGTTTGGTTTATCCCTACATAAAACCACTGGATTTCTCTTATGGACTCCAATAACTACTTTAATAGACTTGTAGAAACCCCAGTAAATCACTAATAACTTCTCTTAAGCCCCGAGCCAGGTCCCACAAAGCACTCTTCCCAAATGGACAACAGTGCTAAAAAGTCCCACATTGAATTCAATCTGAGATTTATCACAACCTCTCCATAAACACATACCTAATGTTTATAAGCGTGCATAATATTGAATTGGAGTGGATCTTTGGATTGGCCTGAAATGCAAAGCAATTTTTCATGATATAACAGTGCTTGGATGTGCAATACAGAGGCTAAGTATATGCAGAGCCTATAATAAATTGCACTTATTGAACTCTAGGAAAAAATGGCAAAAAAAACTGTTGCTCTTCTGCACATCCACTGAATGAAAATTGATAACCACAAGTTCAATGAAAGAGTTGAAACTAATAGAATGCATACTCACATAAAGTTGCATGAAGGATGTGTCGTAGAAGTACAGGGGTCTCGGCAGGGTCAGCACTTTGGACGTCTCATCGTCGCCTTCAGCCAGAATGAGGTCTCCAGTGTTATAGCCATAGGAGAATAGATCGGCCCTGGTGATGCCCGAGGCCAGACGCAGACCGCCGCAGAAGCACAGCAGCCACACGGCCAACGCTTGCCCCCTGTCCATGTTCACAGTTCAGAGCAGAGAGAGCTGGACGGATGGACTGAGACTCCTCTACGCAGCCTCTGATACCCCGCGACCGAGAGGCGGGGCCAGCGCAACTTTGCCGACACGCTGATTGGCTGCAGGGCTCTTTGATTGACAGCAGATCGGAGCACGCGGTAGAATGAGGAGGCAACATCTGGTTCAAATTAAACGAGACATATGGTGTGTTTTTATAATGCAACTTAAGACCCATCCTTTTCCACATTTTGAGGTTAAGATGATGTCATGGTGCTTAAGCAGGATGGTCAAACTGTCCATGAACAGAGAAAGATGGAAAGAATTTACAATAACAATATATATTACGCAATAATCATAATGTTGTGTGACTTTAACCAATGTTATAATAGATCCATGACACGGACAGAAATGAACTTTTCAATAATAAGTTTTTGGCGCCCCACAGCGGCCTTTCTACAAATTGCAGACATTTTTTGCGCGCTGTTGTAAAAAGAAAAGTCATAAATATATATGGAGAGTAAATAGAGTAAAGAAAGAAAGTCCACCAATATCTCACTATAACTCTGTCACATGAATAAGTGAGTAGACAAATAATTGGTTTCATAATATATATGTTTAGGAGAACTTGGAGAAGAGCATTAATTAAATTAATTGTTAATATAATTAAAATAATTAAATGGAGCTCCAACTGGTATTAAATCTAAAGTTTTTGAGAAATGTTTGCATTGCTTGTTAATTTTTGCTGCATAATTTGATCAAATATGTAAAACATGTCCGTAGCACGTTAAACTGTGGTGCCATTGTATTAATATACAATTATTTGCTCAAAAGTTGCCCTTTTTTTTCCAATTTGCGTTTGAATATCTACATTTATTCTCATTCTTCTGTTTAATGGAATGCACAAACACAGCAGCGTGCCATCAAAGATGGCGTCTCAGAGGAGGTCATGTGACATTCATTGGTCTGTGGGAACTATGTATAGATTTGACGAAACTCTTGTCTATTCAGCTGTTATGGTCCCAGCTGGATTCGTCTGCATATCTGGCAACCTGAGTCAGGGAGAGAGGTTACAGTACCAGTTTTGGCCAGATTTATACATACTGCTCCTTCCATTTTGCAATACAGCAATGGAATATATTGTGATTCATTATTATTCAGTCACACTCAGGAGGGTAGTGCTAGAATGTTCTCCTGGACCTTCCGTTGTTGTCCTTGAACACTCAGGGCACAGGACCTTATCACACGACAAAACATTATTCAGATACAACAGACGAGCGTAAAGCAGACACAGAGGACCTTAAACCTCAGATATAAATGTAAAAACTCTAAGCATAGAAGTGAAACTGATAATTATTTAAATTAAACACTGCTCTACTGTGTTATTTTAGGAATGTGCGCAAAATATTGCGATACTGAACAGAATGTTGCTGCTGCTGCTCCCAAACTGGAATAGTTTACCCCTGTGCATTAGACGAGCTCCTTCGTTGCATGTTTTGTATCACTTCACAAAAAGACACATTTGTAGACGTATTTATTTAACAATGAAAATGTACTGAAGCGGTTCTTTTTCCCGCCCGCAGTCGACGTTTGGAATTTACAAGCAAACAGAGAAGAGTCGCCTTCAAGGAGGTGAGTAACTATAATAATGTTTTTTATTTTTTACACATTTCTTTATTCAAGGACAATGAAAATCAAGCTTTTACACAGAAATATAAGCACAGCACAAACGCACACAACGAATGCGGTAATAATAGAATTGTTGAAAATAACGAATGATAATTTTGCTCTAGAGTGTGTTCACAGTAAAGTATCTGGAGTTTAAAAGGTTATAACTCAAACTAACATTACTATCATAGATTCAAAGAGATAGAGTGGATAAAATCAGAAGAAAAGACAAATATCTTTTTAGCGACATTTTAAACGACCAAATCAGCCTCAGATTGGACCGTTCTACTGTGACGCCAGTTATATAGAAAATAAAATGTCCTCAGTCTGAAAAAACGGCAGAAGAAATCCCACAAGATTTACACTAACTCATTAACTTATTAAATCAGTGAATCACTTGATATAGAAAGGAATCGTTAAAAAAAAATCAATACAAAATTAAATGACCCATTAAAAAAATTTGCAACGGGCGTAATGGTTTCTGTCAATTTTTCTCTAAAAATTAAACTTTTCAATATCAAAGTATCACTTCACAAAAACAAGTATCTCTGAATCAAATGTGTATCGGAAAATACGTAACAAACTTCCGCAGCTCATTCCGTCCAATCATCGTTACATAAAGTAAACAGAGCCGCTTCAGGAAACTTGTCTAATGTATAAAACAGTTTTGTTCTGGAAACTTCTAATGGACAGAGGAGGGATTTGAACACATGAAAAACATAAAATATCTTCTGATTATCACTTTTGTGCCCTTTAGTGTGAACAAGCCCTTTTTACTGAAATACTGTCCACTGAATGTCTCTTGTAATGAAACGTTTGCCATTGTCTGGTCCAGGTTTGCTTTTAGGTGAGATTGTGAAGAATCTTACTTCAATAACTACACAAAACCCCAAACAAAGACTCAAGCTCATGATGCTGTCGGCAGTAAGTTACAGATTAAATTAAACTAATATCAATTAAACAAACAAGAAGTCTTTATTTAATGCTATTTATGAATAATGGTGTTTTTGTTCTGTTGACAGCATGACACAACTGTAGCTGCTCTTCAGGCCAGTCTGAATGTTTTCAACGGCATCCAGCCTCCGTATGCATCCTGCCATATATTTGAACTGCACAAGGATGACCAAGGGTAAGGCTTTTATCCTTTTGTTTAACTGGTATAGTAACTGTTTAGAATGACATGTATTAATGGCAACCTTGAGTGTCTAGAAAGGCGCCTAAGTACTTTGAAATGTATGATAATAATATTTGTTTTACGTTTCAGTGCTTATACTGTATCCATGTTTTACCGCAACAACACAGAGCTCTACCCGTTGCCCTTACCTGGCTGTGCTCTTGACTGCCCCCTGGAGGACTTCCGGACACTTACAAAGCCCTCAATTTCTGAAGACCGGGATCAAGAATGCCAGCTTCCAATAACGGCAAATGGAGGTAGCAATTTAACAAAGCGCAAGTGCATTTGACAGTGTTTGACTTTCTGATCAATCGTCAAACTCAAACGGTTCAAACACAAGAAATGCAATGATAAAACGCAGAGCCATTGGTCCATTAGGGACAGATGACCAATGTTCATAAATGATGTCAAATGTCGAGTGTCCTGGATCATCACGATTATCTTTAGACCCTCCTGCGTCGGCGAGGAACTCTTAAAAACCCAGGGGGGGGCCCACATTGAGGGACGGACCAGCTCCAGGACCAATCCCAAGCCCCGGCGATCCAAGATGGCGCCCTATTCAAATGAGTGGTTGTGCTCAGTGGCGCTTTGTGACGGCATGGGGGCTGAAAGATTAGCGGAAGTCGTCTGGAACTTGCAAAGATCTATGGGAAACTGGCCTGTATTTGGGCATCGTCTGTGCCTCCCGGTTCTGCGCAGTGGATCATCTCCCATAATGCGTTACACCAAACACGCGTGTGTGGGTCTCACACCGGGTCTCACGCACGTGCACAGAGGGGCTCGGCTGCGCTCTGACCAATCAGAGCGGGAGTTAGAGCGAGAGCCAGACGAGCAGAGTTTGTGGCAGTAAAGTTTGGATTTAAACAAAACAGAAGGATTTAAGAAGAAAAAAAGTTCAGGATGACAAGGGACACTAAAATCCCCACAAAATCCGACCTTTATGAAAGCTGTAGGTTCTCTGTCAGCTGGGGTCGAGCTGTTTTAATATGCATTGAGTTCTATGGGGAAAATGTCTGGGTAGCCCACGTGAATCTAGTCTGGTTCAGTCTGCAGTACCGCGAGAATCCCCTGAGCACATGAGTTATTCAGCTACAAGCTAGTAATACCCTATCCAGTTAATATAATACATCCATGACCAATCCCCGGTGATCCAAGATGGCGTCCTATTCAAATCAATGGCTTGTGCTCAGTAGCGCATTGGACCAATCAGCGGCTGGTGATCAGAGCAGAGCTAGGGAGGAGTTGGAGTGGGAGTCAAATGAGCAACGTTTTTTTGCAGTAAAGTGTAGATTTATAGAAAACCAAAGGATTTAACAAGGAAAAAAAATATGATAGCAAGGGACACTAAAATCCCTACAAAATCTGACTGTAGGTTCAGCAGAGGTGGAGCTGTTTTAGTTCACATTGAGTTCTATGGGACTTTTTTCTGTGCAGCCCACGTGGATTTAGTCTGCAGTACCCATCGGTGGGACAGCTATAAGCTAGTAATGCCCTATCCAGATATTATTAAATAGATCCATGTCCAGGACTTAGGACCAGTTAAAATTATTACCTAATAGATTCCTTTTTAACATTTTTTTCTTTTCCAGAAGTGATCATTGGCCTTGCGGTGTCCGGCTGTCTGCTCCTCGTCATCGTGGCCGTCCTCCTTGCCGTCCTCCTTGCCGTCGTCTGCCGGCAAACCGACCCAACGAGAGCGCGGGGATACCACCAGGTGATCAACGAGGGCGAGTCCTGACACAAGTGCGAGCTGCTCCCGCCAAAATGCACACAACTCATTTCCTGGAACACGGACAGCGACGAGGAAGAACTCTGACCTCGCCTCGTGTTTGAATAAACTCTGGACCAACCGCAGGGCCGAGGGTACGGACTGTTTCTGTTGTCACTTTGAGAGTGACTGATGTTATAGGATATTAAATGGTGCTTTTGATGGAAGTAAATGTGGTACTGTTTGAGAACCCGAGGGCTACAGGAAGAGCACTAATGGGGTTAAATGTGCCTTAATATTTTCTAAACAACTTGGACTTTTCTAATTAGCTTTATCTTTTCATCTTTCGTCTTACACACTGCAAAAAAGGTAAAATATTGGTAAGGTAATCATTTCTTGAATTGTGGTTTTTATCCTAATGTGAGTCCATGCTGACTGTCTTAAAACAAGATTTGCCAATGGGACAAAAAACATGTTTTGAAAATAAAAAAAGATAATTTTGTCCCGTTGGTAAATTATGTTTCAAGGCAGTTTTAATGTGCATTTAGTCAAAGTTGAGCACTTCTGACTTTTCTTCACTTTTTGCAGTGCATTTGTGTCATGTGTCCAGAATCCAACACAATAACAAGATTACAGTGTTAACATCAAGTTTTCATGATCAATTATCAGCTTTTTGTACGTTTACTGATGTGCTGTTGAAGTGAAGAACAATAAGAGAATGTCATGCACTGGATTACTAATTATTTGCTCAATAGTACAGCCAAAAATGACAAATGTTGGATATAAGCCATCTGTATGGCTGTAGGAGGAGGTTTTTACTCTTCAATATTTGCCAATTGTCCATAATTAAGTGATAACTTATAAAGTAGTTGCTTGTTCTAATGGCAAAATGTATTTGGAGAAAATGTACTCATCACAATCAAGCTCTGATACTTTATAATAATTCTGATTGTGAAGCAGATGTATGCACTTAATTTGAGCAGACTTTACTTGTAAAAATATCTGTCAATTTAAATGTCTAAATGCTCCTTTAAACAAGATACATCCTATGACTAATAAGGTAAAGTATTATTTTCTTGTTGCTAGAATTAAAGTAAAATAGTTAATTCCATTGGCAGATATAAGAAACTTCATGGATCTCACAATGGAGACCGATAGAATCACTCAGATTGTGGAAAAATACAGAAGTCCAGGATATAATTATGTACAATAACCAACCCATGAGTCCATTTTACTCAGTTTTCTGTGGCGTGAACAAAATGTCTTGTTGAATGTTTGACCTTTAAATTGCCTAAAGATGATGCCGCACTGCAAATAAAGATACAATGTAAGGTAATATTTGATTGAATCGAGTGGTTCGTTTCTTAATTTAAGCTGTTTAGTCTTTCAAGACCCTTTCCTTTTTTTTATTCCAATGGAGATAAAGGGGCGACAGTAGCTCAGTTGGTAGAGCATTGGCCTTAAGGCCAGAAGGTCGTGGGTTCAATTCCCACCTCTGCACCTTCTCCACCGACTCCCACTGGTGACTGCTGTTGATGTGTCCTTGGGCAAGACACTTAACCCCACTTTGCCCAAAGACCCCACTGAAAGGCTATGCTCACACTCAGAGCAGCCGTCCTCCTGTGGACTCACCACCTGCAGAGGGTCAGTGAGGGGCTGGTGCTATGAGACTTGGGTGGCTGCCATACATCATGTTTTAAGGCAGTCAAAATCTGCTCAAACTAAGATGCATTTTGCCAAACAAGAGCGACTTTTGACTAATTTCAGTTTTTTCTGTGCGTATGGTTCATGTCCCACTGGTTTCCATTTGATGCAGCCAAAGTCCAGCCTGTGACTTTCACTCTGACTTAATTCGGATGTTCTCAATGATCTGGTTATGAGGTAAATCAAGCCACATGATCATGATGCCTGAACCCGCAAATAAAGTTAAAGTCCGTCTCCGCCGCTCCAAACAGCCACACCAGCATTCTTCTTTAGAAAGAGTGCAGTAGTCCTTTATTGAACACGGTAGTGCATTTTTGCATACATAATTGGTGATCGTTTGCACATTACATTCAGAATTCTGCCACGGGTTAACACAATCTATAAAATACAAAGAATTATACCCACTGTCACCTGCAGCAAACACGAACACAGAGAGGCTCACGCTGAACAGAAAACTCTTGGATTGTTGCAGTTGTCTCCAGAAGCATGCCCTGGAAATGAGTAACGTTTCTTGAAGCTGTTTTAGACCACTACAAAGTTGAATGTTAATATTTTATACATGTCAGTCCATGTCCATGTCCACTCTGAAGGACATTGTTCCCTCAGTCAAACATACAAAAAACATGGGTAATGTTCCCGTATACTGCAAAAAATGATTAAACGCAGCGATTATTACTTCATATTTTGTGTTAGTTTGAGTACATTATGTCTGTCTTAAAACAAGACTTGCCAATGGGACAAAGCAATTTTTTTGTTGTCTTAATTCAAGAAATTGAATGAATGACTTATTATTCCAATGTTCTGTTTTTAAAACAAGACAATTTTGCTTTTCCAATCGGCAAATCTTGTTCTAAGGCAGTCAAAATCTGCTAAAATTAAGATACATTGCTCAAATTTGGAAAAAAATGGACTTATTTTTCATACATTTTTGCAGTGTACTTATGCAGTTAAGGTATGGCATCAAAAAACCTACACAATAGAAAACAACTTCAGACACACATGAAGATTGGAAATCGGGCAACACACACAAACATCTTGTGCAAAAATTGTTCCATAAGAAATGACTTGGATATGATTTAATGTGATGGCACATCGATATCTCCTTCCACAAAGGATAGTCAATAATAATATAGAGGATTTATAAATATGGTAGGAGGTGAAGTCCTACATTTGTCAATTTTTTTAAGTGCAATATGTTAGCGATTAAAAATATGACATCCTTTTATGTGAAATTGTAGCTTTATGCCCAATTGTTTCTCTCATTGTCCCATGTCCAACAATTACCACAGTTCTGTTCTTTGCTACACGTTCGGCATCGTTGGACCTAATATTAGTCTTACTCAAAAATGATCAGTAAACTTCAAAGTCCTTAAATAAATGGTGCAGCAATCATTTACAAGAGCTTTGGATAGCGTTGGCAATAAAACATTAGATTGGGCAGCAATGTCCGTAGACTTCTGCCATTTTAGCGGCGTCTGAAGCCAAGCAGACTTACGCAGCTGCGTCCTCGGCCGACAGAAGCTGTTTAAGTCGGTTCATTCAGATCAAGCAATGACATCACAACCATGTGGACAATATTCCCCAAAGTCACATTAGTGTTTGAGTGAATCTTCATAAGATATTTTCCTCTGGGTTTTGTTGCTGAGCCATCACATACACTGCAAAAAAAATACTAAAAGACGGGAAATAATTGCTTGAATCAGGTGTTTTTTGATCATAATTTGAGCACATTCAGACTTAAAACAAGATTTGTCAATGGGACAAAGCCATTTACTATTTTTTGAATAACTTGCTTTATTTTCTCATTCCAAGAGAGACATTTCTTGTATATGTTTAAAAGATAATTTTTCTTTTCCCATTAGCCAATCTTGTCAAAATGTGCTCAAATTAAGATACATTCTGCCAAATTTGAGCAATTTTGGAATTATTTTTCATAATTTTTTGCAGTGTGATTGTGATACATTAGCTCTGATAACCACTAAAGATTTTTTTTCCAGGTTTTGTTGCTTGGCAGAAAGTCAGAATATTAAGCTTGTACAAATACTACAATATTTCTGAAGCTTTGGTCCCTGATGACTCCAGTTCTGAACCCAAAATGCCATCGGCCATTCACTCACGGATCCACAATTGACCCATACCTTTAAAGCCACCGTAACTTTATCAACATCTGAAGTCCACACATATTTCTTCTTTCTTTCTCTTCAGTTTTGAGGCGTGCAGTAATAGGTTTGCGACCCGCAGTAGTAACTCTGCGGTGTGGAGTAGTAGTTGCCGTGCTGTTGGTTGCCGTAGTTGTTGCTTTGAGGCGTGGAGTAAAAGTTATGGTGATGGTGGTGGCTTTGGATGTTCCCGTAGGCGAACAGCAGCGGGGCCGTGGAGGAGGCAGGTTGTTGCGTGGACACAATGGCGCTACTGCTGCAGTTGCGCGGGATGGAGCCGTACCAGGTGGAGGAGGGGCCCGTCTGGGGGGTGGAGGACAGGAGGCTGGTGCGGTCTGCCCGGCTCGGGACGCTGCGGGAGAGGTCGTCGTCACTGTCGTATCGTCGCGGATTGTCGAAGAAGTAGGCACGCGAGCTGAAACTGTGGCTGTTGATCATCCCTCCAGGAGCCTGAGACACAGACGCAGGTTCTTTATTTTTTTATTGTTAAAAAATAGACAATACAATACAAGTGCAGACGTACGGACAAATACAACACGACAGACAACAGTGTGGATATTTACAAGTGGGTGTGTGTACAGTGTGTGGGGTCGGAACAGGGCCTTTCTGAGTGGAGTTTGCGTAGGTTTCCTCCAGGTGCTCCGGTTTCCCCTACCACTAAAAACATGCACAATAGGTCTGAATGTAAATGAGAGAGTGAATGGTGTTGGAGCTGATGGTCCAGTGTGTTCTGGACTCGCTTCTGTCATCACCGTGTGTGGAAGGATTGGAACAATATCTGACTCTGAACATTGTAAAGTGCTTTGGGTCTATGCCTTGGTCTGTAAAATGTGCTATATAAATAAACATTACTGACTACTTACCCTCATTGCCCCTATTTTCCCTTCTTATTTGTGTCCCAGTTTGTATACCTGTGTCTAAAGTGGTGCATTAAAAAGGACACTATGGGAGGTTGTCGACTTGGTCCAGGGGGGGCTGTCCAAGGGCAGCTCCCATCTCTCCTGTATCGCTAGCCTTTTTTGTGTGGGTGTTCCCTATGCTTGAGTTATGGTGCATTAAAAACACAGACGAGACAGATGCAGTTACCACTGTCACTTCAAATCTAACTTGAGTTTTATTTAGTGCTTTTTTTGGACAGATGGTTTTTAACACCACAAGAAATGATCAAAAATGAGGTGACAAATGCTTTAATTATGGGTTTTGGGTCTTGTTTTGAGACAGAAATCAAAATTTAGTCAAAACAAGAGTAAGTAGTAATGGGACAAAGCCATTTAGTCTAAGAACTGTTGCTTTATTTTTCTAATTTTAAGACTTTGGTTGTATCTTTTAAAAAACAAGATGTGTCCCATTCGGCTTGTTTTAAGACCGTTAGAAAGTACTCAATTTAAGATGAAAAAACCTCATATTTGATCACTTTTTGCAGTGTAGACAAACTACAAATAGATATTAATCCTTTAGATGGTTTTTGTTTTGTTTACCAGGTTTTGGTTCGGTTTTTGGACTCGGAAGAAAACCACCACAAGGCTCGTTGGCAGCAGCTCCCAGAAGAAAAGAATGATTCCAAATATGATGTATGCTTCACCGGTGATTTCTTGCACGTCAGCCTGCAAAAAAAGACAATTTCCTTCTAAATAATACATAGTTTTTAAAATAGAAACAAACAAATGCAGCGGGAAGCACATTATGAGAGAAGTCAGTTTGTGCTGCAGTGCAAAACCGGTAAACAGGAAGCAGGCGCAGCACAAAACATGGAGCTGGATTAACACATCTGAGTAAAGTTTGATTGGATCTTGTTGTCAATACAAACTATTCATGCTTTGTTTTGAAAAATCTGCAGTTTGGCATCAAAACGACTTCATGAAGACACAGGTCGACTGCAGTAAGCCATGAAAAATAAGTCAAAAATTGCTCAGATTTGGCTAAATTAATCTTAGTTTGAGCACAATTTTGAAAACCTTAAAACAAGATTTGCCAATGGGACAAAGCAAAAGTATCTCGTTTAAAAAAAGAAATGTTTCTTCTAAAGATGAATGAAAAAAGCAACTGTTCTTGAACTCAAATTAGGATAAAAACCACTTGATTGAAGCGTTTATTACCACCTATTTTTTGCGGTGATGTGAGATTTCACAAACACTTTGAAGCAACTTTTGTTAAAGTTAAACTCATCATTCTATCAATGTGCAGAAGCCAGTACTTTTCCCTTGTTTTGTCTATCTGAAGGCCAAGCTACAAGCACACTGTGGCAGCTGCTGATTGGAGGTCTCCATGCCTCCGTTCTGTATAATACACTTGCATTCTGTTGTTCGTGTTGTTCGTGCTGTCTCTACCATCGACAATAAAACATGTCTTCTGTCTGAATTAAAGACACGATCCCAGACTATGTCATCTTCTTCAGTGAGATCAGATGAATTGACAATAAATAACTAAATAATAAAGATAATGAAGAGCTGTGTATTACCAAAATAATAACTTTTTTTTTTAATGCTATACTTCACAAGCTTGCCAACTTTGTGAAGCAATAAAAGCGTTTTCGCAACAAAACAGCAACTAATCTGCTGTTAATCTGTCGGAAACCCTTGTACCTCTCACCTCTGCTGCTGTTGTTAACCACAAAGCGATCATTTCTTTCTGTAATATCCCCACCGTGGGACTAATAAAGGCATTCATTCATTCATAAAAGCATAAAAGTATTTAAATAATGATAATCATGCCCGATTATGTACCGTTATAGAAATCTTTTAGTAAAGCAATCTGAATTAACATCAAATAGTTAAGTGTAAGTAATTAACTAATAGTGAAACACCTCACTCTGTTATCAAAAAACCGGGGTTACGTTAAGTAACCTTAAGTCTCTCTGTATTCTAACACAGCACAGATGGTCTGCAGCAGGTCAGTGATAGATGGAGAGCAATGTGTTCAGGTCAAAGCAGATTATTATTAAGTATCAGAGTTGTATCAGAGTAAGGAAGCTTAAAGAGAAGCCTTGAGCGACACACATCAATCCTGACTTCATATACAGTATCTGGAGTATGTCTTTCATACGTTATATGTTTACTTTCAGACGGTTTCAGGCGGTTTCAGACAGTATCAGGCGGTATCAGGGGGTTTCAGGCGTTTTCAGGCGGTTTGAGGCGGTTTCAGACGGATTCAGACGGTATCAGGGGTTTCAGGCGGTTTCAGGCGGTTTCGGACGGTTTCAGACGGTTTCAGGCAGTTTCAGGCGGTTTCAGGCGGTTTCAGACGGTTTCAGGCGGTTTCAGACGGTTTCAGACGGTTTCAGACGGTTTCAGACGGTTTCAGACGGTTTCAGGCGGTTTCAGGCGGTTTCAGGCGGTTTCAGACGGTTTCACGCAGTTTCAGGCGGTTTCAGGCGGTTTCAGGCGGTTTCAGGCAGTTTTTTTCAGACACGTTTTTCGCGTTATCATTATTAATGTCATTATTTATTTGGGTGTCTGTTTTCACTGTTATGTAAAGTAATGGAATGTACTGTGTATGTATATACTTTTTATTTATTTATATCTCGTATAAAAGTAAATGATGGTACATTTTAACAGCTAAGTATACTCGGAAAACATTGTGTAGTATCCTATTGTTTTCTTGCAAACCACTGATGACCCAATGTTACTGCTGTTGTCCAATCAATTCCAGTATTTTCATTTCTAACAAGGAGGACAGTGCATGGACATCTGGTGTACCCACAGATTACAGCTATAATTTGTAACGTCAGATTATAACCAGCATGGGCATGGGGGGTAGAGAACATTGGCCCTTTGGATCTTCCCATCTCCAGCTCTGATCCACCAGCACCATGTAGGTCAACACACGTCAAAACAAAGTTGCCCCAATTTGCAATCTCCTGCACGAGAAGATAAAGTATTTAGTTAGAGATTTTATACTAGCTTCTTTATTATGCTAACGCTAGAGATGTTATACTAGCTTCTTCATTATGCTAAAGATAGAGATTTTATACTAGCTTCTTTATTATGCTAAAGCTAGAGATGCTATACTAGCTTCTTTATTATGCTAAAGTTAGAGATTTTATATACTTGCTTATTCATTATGCTAGTTAGAGATTCTATACTTCAGTAAGAGATTATATTTCATTTTACCTTAAGATTATTGTTCAGTTATCTTGTGCTGTGTGCTCCTCATTCCCACTGTTCTGTAACCGGTAATGCAACACTGACATTTCCCCACTGCGGGACAAATGAAAGATTGTAATCTGAACGTACCTGATCGGAAACGCTGTACCATCCGTAGTTGAAAGGATTTGGCTTGTCCTGCGGCGACAGAGACACCACCACCATATTGTAACAGGCCCTGGATACGTATAGAAATATGACCACGGTGCCCACGGCTGAGGCTTGGCACACGGACGTCCCCTGGAGCAAAACAGGCAAGTTTATCTGTATAGCACAGTTGATACACAAAGCAACTCAAAGGGCGGAACAAAACAAGATAGAAACAATCATAAAATGCATGGGAATCCTAAATAATAACTGTACAATAACATTAAAAAGAGTAAATATATGTCTGTCTCACCTTGGATTCGAGGTAAACATTTGCCGAAGACATCTTGGCGATTTTAAAGATGCAGACGGCGAGAGAAATGGCACAGAGAACAAAGAGGCTGTCGTTGATCACCACCCGGGCCAGGACCGTGTGTCGGACGGTGGCGTCGCTGCAGACAGAGGGCGAGTTTTAACGTCTGTGTGTGTGTGTGTGTGTGTGTGTGTGCGTGTGTGCGTGTGTCATTTGACTGTGCAGACAACAACTGTGTGGCCGTGTAAGGAACATAAAGTCACAAACACATTTTCTTTGGTAAACAAGTTGTAATCTAAATGACATTTTAGTGCACACTAAGTAACTAAGTAAACACATTTGACAGTGCAGCCTAAGGTGACACTGGGAAATGACAGAGGTATTGACCAGATGCATCGACGTCATCCAGTCACGTGATTGTGCATGAAGTAGTGGAGGGTGGTGGAAACTGGCATTAGCATTAGCATTGCGGTGAGTGCAAAACGAACACAACTCTTAAAAACTGAGCTTCCTCTCCTAAAACGAGAAGTGGCTGCTTCAAGCACATGTTCGACAACGTTATTAGTGGAAGTAGGACATGAGGTCAGGGCTCACAAAGAGCGGTATTTGGAGAAGTGAAGGATCGGTGAACTGGATGTTGACCCGTGGGGGCGGGTCCCGGCTCAAAAGTGGCCAAAATGACGTGCGCTGACATGCTGCAATACCACCCCGGGCCGATGGGGGTGGACCCAGAAAAAGAATTAGCCGATGCTAACATATAGCATTGGCAGACCTCTCAAAACCGTCTTTACAGGATGGACCAAAAGTTGGCTCTTGGCCCAAAGCTCCGTTCCACATGTGTGTCAATGCTGAGGGGGGTGTTTTGGTCCACTCTAGTTTACTTGCTGTGAATTTTTTAAGTCTCTCGTTCAAATGAATGGAGCTTGCGCCGGCTGACGCATGCGCAGATGCGTTTTTTTCACAATTTTCTTGTGGGCGGGACCACTCACGGCCATTTTGGATTGCTCCAGTAGAGCACATTTTTTGGCCCATTAGTTAGAACGGCGGAGATAGGCGTGACTCTGTCCGTTAATATATACAGTCTATGATGTAGACCTGTACCTTCTCCTCACAGTCAATTTCATTGATTAAATGAAATGTCTAATCTCGCAGTTAGACTTCCGTTGTGTGTCATGGAGAGTGGGCGTGGCCTGGACGCCACATGCACGGGGCCAATACAGATTTTTTTTTCCCCCACACCACTAATGATATGCATATATAGATTGGCAGCTACAATGTTTTGATTTCTCTCATATTCCATCCCAGTATGTGTTTTTACTGCACTCTTTCTGTAGTTTCTATATTTCATTTTCTCGTGAATACTCAAAATACTGCAAACTGCTAAATGCACTTGTCCCACAGAGACAGAGGCCGATCGATTCGACAAACTAGCTTTGGAAACTGTGTGTGCTTAGGGGGTCTTACCTTGGGGTTTCCGAACGCTCCAGAGCTCCTTGCACCAACGACGCACATGTGATATTCACCACCAGGAAAAATATACTCAGACTCAGAAAGAACAAACGCAGAGGGACCCTAGACACAAGGTTCACGAGGTTGATCAGACGCATCAGACGCATAGTTTAAATGCATTTAAAGAGAAGTGGTGTACAGACTTACTTGTACTTATTAAGTTCAGGGGAATACTTTGCTTTGGCTTTGAACATAACCTAAAAGGAAAGAAAACAGAAAACAGGTCAGGTGGGTTTTGGAGAGAGGTGTGTAATAACGTGAGCCGTGGAGAAGACAGGGTTAGCAAACAAAACAAGTGCCCTTCATAGTGTCATGTTAACTTTTAGATTAGAGCAAATAAAAAATAACACTTTGAGTAGGTCCTGTGCTGACACTGTGCAAATATCTGCCTCAAACAAACATCAAATTGTGCATAAGTTCAACCAGTGCGAACCAGGGCCTGTCCGAGATACCCTTCACTTACTCTGTGGAATGATGTTATCACTGCAAGAAGGATAACATTTGAGGTAATAATTGCTAGAATCTATTGTTTTTTAACTTAATTTGAGTATATGGTGGTTTTAAAACAAGATTTTCCAATAGGAGGACAGCTTTACGACTTATTTCAAGAATGATCTTTTGGCAAATCCCGTTTTAAGGCAGTCAAAATGTGCTCAAATGAACGCTTTGCAGAGATGGTGGTCCAATTTGCGCAAAACTGATTTAACCGCTTAGAAATCGGAGTAGTTAATTCACCTCAAGATTCAAGATTGATTTATTATGTCCCGTAGGAAATGTGTCTTGGACATAAACCATTAGCTCTGCTCCATGGTCTGCGTTCAGGAGGTTCACAGATATGAGAAGGAATGAGTTCTTATACCGGTGCAGATATGGTTTCTTATTTCTGGTTGGTTCTCTGTAGCGGCGGCCTGATGGGAGGAGCTCATACTGAGAGCAGAGGACATGAGAAGGGTCTGAGGTGATTTTCTTTGCCGTTCTGATAACAGTCTCCTCAAAAATCTGCTGCAAAGATGGATGCTCCCTAACTCCCACTAATCTACACTAATCTGTAAAGTTCTGCTTTTGTTTTAACAGTCAAATTCCCAAACCACACACACATAATATATCTTACTGCACTTTCAATTACAGCATGATTAAACAGCGTCATTATTTTCTGTTCAACTCCAAAAAGTCTTAATCTCCGCCTAAAAGTCTAAAAATATGTTCAAATTCAATCGGGTGATGCCGATGGCCGAGCTGCTTGCAAAGCTGTGGTCCTGTTGTTTTCTGCCATGACCGTCTTAAGCCGAGGGTGAAACCGATGTAGGTAGAATACATTTCCATTCTTTATTTAAATCCTTTTTGCACCAAAAGCACTGCTCAATTTGTGAACAATTTGCAGTTGTGTTGTAAAGTGGAGCAAATGATTGGAAGCGAGTTCTGACGTAGCTAAATGGGTCACAAAGTTAAACATTAGTGTGTATGGATAGTTTTAAAAGCGTTATGGGGACAGAGGAGAGGCTCGGGTGTAAAAAACAGAAGGAAATCACAAGGTTGTTTTTGAGTCATCCAAAATCTGTTGTGAACATGTAACAGGCCTGTTTCAGCTGTTTTTATTAAGATCCTTATTAAATACTGAAATATACAGTAGCTATTCCTCCTGCGCTGCAAAAAGTGATAAAAATCAAGTCGAAAATTGCTCAGATCTGGCAAAATGCATCTTTCGTATCTCTCAAATGTATCTTCATTTGAGAAAGATTTGTTTTTGTTTTAAAGATACAAGAAATGTCTCCCTTAAAATAAGAAATTCATTGAGATAAGACTAATTAAAACAGTCAGAATAAACTCAGATAAAGTTAAAAACCCTTCAAGTAATGCCAAAGTGTGGGAAGTTGGAATCAAGAGTGCCCTACCTCTTTTACTAACTCATTGACTGCCAGCGGTTTTTGATGATTTCACTAATTTGTGCAATGACTATGTGCAATATATAACCAGATTCTGAAAGATTGGATTGTCTACTTTCAGCAGCAAAAATAAGTTAGTCTCTAGCTTGTTTGGTTCTTCTGTAATCCCCAGCCGAAGTTGGAGAGAAATCACAGGTGTCAGACAAATACGTCAATGGCAGTGAATGAGTTGATTAAGAATTACCAGTAAATACAGCTTATCAGTAACAGAATGTTGACTGACACCCCATAGTTGACCACGCACTCTTGCTTTATGATTACATCTGCAAATCCTGTTGTTTTTTCATTAGATAGTTGTTTGTTTCTCCGCTGTGGTCTTTCAGTAAAATATTTAAAATAAAACAATTAGGTTTGTGGCGGTAACAAAAACAGTGAAAAGTGTAATTATTAGACTATTCCAGGGCCATATATGCAATCATTTCCTTAAAACTCAGCCTAATGTTCATCACCTTAAGTTGCCTGGTGTACGAGTTGTGCTATACAAAAAAACTTGCCTTGATTTCGGAAAATAATATGAATATTTTTTATGAATCATTATTAATCCTCAAGAACGCTGCCTTAAAATGTTTAATGGGCACTACATAAGGCGTGTTCTGATCTGCCTGTACTGCAGGGGTGTCCAAACTTGTGTAATAGGGCCACTTTAATTTACCAGACTTGTCGATGGGAAAAACTGTTCTGAACTTTAAAATCAGCTTTAATAATGTTGACGTTGGCTACATTAGCAACTCAATTTTGTGCCACAATCAAAAACAAGTAACCAGTATATACAAAACAAGCTTTACAACAAGATATAACATGCATATATTGGTAAAGCTGAAGTTGGCTGTATGACACTCTGAACTGGTGTCTTTGATATGGTACGTTAGCGAGGCAGAGGGCCAGATAACATGACACAGGGCAGCATTTGGCCCACGGGCCTGAGTTTGGACAGGCCTGCTAGAGTGGTACAGAATGTGACGCCCCCTACAGTGTAACCGTGACTAGTCCAGGGGTCTCTTGAAATGTATTCTGAAATCAAAGTGTATAAAAGGATTTCAGCTCGCACCATAAGCAGGAGAGTCATAAGGCCATATCATACCTTCCAACAAACACTAGCAAATACTAACAGATCAATTTCTCTCTGGCTGCTCTCTCTCTGTTCTCTCTCTCTCTCTGTGTTATCTCTCTCTGTTCCCTCCCTCTCTCTCTCTTTCAGTTGTATCTCTGTAGTCTTGCTTTCTCTCTGGTCTCTCTCTCTCTCAGTGGTATCTCTCTCTGGTCTCTCTCTCTCAGTGGTATCTCTCTCTGGTCTCTCTCTCAGTGGTATCTCTCTCTGCGGTCTCTCTCTCTCTCAGTGGTATCTCTCTGGTCTCTCTCTCTGGTCTCTCTCTCTCAGTGGTATCTCTCTGGTCTCTCTCTCTCAGTGGTATCTCTCTGGTCTCTCTCTCTGGTCTCTCTCTCTCAGTGGTATCTCTCTGGTCTCTCTCAGTGCTATCTCTCTCCGGTCTCTCTCTCTCTCAGTGGTATCTCCCTGGTCTCTCTCTCTCAGTGGTATCTCTCTCTGGTCTCTCTCAGTGCTAACTCTCTCCGGTCTCTCTCTCTCAGTGGTATCTCCCTGGTCTCTCTCTCAGTGGTATCTCTCTATGGTCTCTCTCTCTGGTCTCTCTCAGTGGTATCTCTCTGGTCTATCTCTCTCTGGCCTCTCTCTCTTGTCCAGGGGTCTCCAACCTGTAGCTCGGGAGCAACCAGTAGCTCGCCACCCCCTTCCAGGTAGCTCGCCAAAGGATTTAGAAATGAACAAATCAAAAAATATGCTTAATATTTCAGATAGTATAGTTCATTATCAGTTTTTATTTTTGTAAATGCTCTTACTTTGTGTATTAGTAACAAATATACAATGATAAATAATGACTGTACCCAATATCAGACTCTTTCACACTAATATATAACCAAATTTTACCGCTTAAAGGAGTAGCTCTCTGCCTTAATCGTCCCTGGAAGGTAGCTCTCTGGGTGAAAAAGGTTGGAGACACCTGGTTTAGACCTTTTTAACAACAACATTCCTTTGTATTCTTTCTCATTTTTTTCTTTCACAAAAATTAATGGGCAAAAGTTTAAAAGCTCGGATAAAAATGTTTGACACATGGTTTGGCACAGGTTCTTTGTTCGGTTTTTGGTACTTCCCATTTGGTGCGTGTCAGCTGACCGCCTCAGACAGACATGTGACACTTTGATTTCATCACCTTTATCAAAACTAGGCCAGCAGAGTTTAGACAAGACACAACTTCCTCTTCTACATCCATTAGAGACTGATGGAAGTGCTTCTGCTGCACGTGGGAGAACAGGGGAGTCCTTGACATATGCAGTGGGCAGGTGCTGGGTTCCTATCCCCCTTTCTCCTCCTACATCTCCCTCCTCTGCTCCACCACTATTGTCCACCAATCCCAGGACAGCAATTCAAGCTTTTACCAAGTCTCCCTCGGACATTAAGATAAAGTGAAGTGCGTGTCTCCAATAGACCGAAGCAAAAGCCACATCCTACATCACCCGTATTCAAATATATTTGCAATAGCAGCAGCCAGCAGTGTTCTCAATCGTTATTCTAAAAGCATTTAAGTCATATGTATTTATTAAACTATTGATTATATACATTAGAACTTGGGAACCATCTGGAAAAGTCTACAATATCTACACTAGGATTCTACTTTTTTGATCATTCAGTTTATGAGAAATTACTAGATCAATGACAAAACTGTTCGTGGGCAGCAGCGGATCAAACCATGTCATTTATAAAACTTGGGGCTCTGTAATTAAAATCAATGAAGATGATTACATTCTTCAACCCCCAAGTGAAAAGATATTGAGCCCAAGTTAATTACAATGAGGATGAGCTCTATGCTGTATCTTTTGGGGCTGCTGCAGTGGGGAACAGAGAACAATGGGGTACCGAAAAGCATTGGACAAGAGCAAAATTGTGCGAAATAGGAATAGATGCATGTAATGTAATTAATGTAAATGGCATAGAAGTGCAGAGTCAGCTGTATTTATGAAATCAGGTCATAGTCAAAGGCACTGCACTCTCTCTCTCTCTCTCAGACACACACAAAGAGATGGTGGAAATAAGGGGGTGTGTTCCTCCTACCTGTGTGAAGTATAGATTGAGCAGGCATAGGGTGAAGAATTGCAGACAGACAGGGCAGCAGTACAGCACCCAGTATGCCAGGGGCTGGAGTTGATTGGCCTGCACCATATTTTGGAAGTAAAAGGAGAATAGAGTGGTCCTAAGAGCTGCCCAGAGCAAACACAAAAACAGGAATACGCTCTGGTAGCTGAATCTCTTGTGTCCATAGTGCAAAATGAGCCAAAGCTGCAGGTAGACAAAAACAAATAAGAAAGAATACAGGACAGTGTGCAGGGTGGTCAATCCGAGCTCTAGTGTTGGAGAGATTGCAGATCCAGAAGGGGAGTCCTTTTGTGAGGTAAACAAGGAGTCGCTGACTTCATCCCCCGCAGCAAACATCTCCACGGACGCTTGTTTTAACGCATTACGGACAAAAAAAGGCAAAATAAACACAGCGAAATAGGTCAGAGCCTCTTCAAATGTATCGTAGTCAACAACATATAAAAGCAGGGTATTCTGAATAGAAGTGGCATGTTGGAAGTGCGTTTGTCTATTTCAAGAATTAGATGGAGAAGTGAAAATACACATAAGGCGATTGTTTAAAAGAAGAAAGGGGGTGGAAAAAAACAAGAGATCCCCTTGTGAATCCTGCAAAGCTCCACTGCAAAAAACAACTTGAGGGGGAAGCTTCAGATCAGCTGTGATGCAGTTACGGCCCGCCCCCTAGCACTGTCGTTGTCACCGTGAAACTGCAGTATCGTCGGGCGCCATTTTGGCTCGCAGTTAGCTTGTTTCCTACGCAGTTGATATAGCCGTCGGAGCCAGAGATTTCGTCCAGTTTCCAACCCAAAGAACCGAAGTGAAAAACATCCTCACGCCCACTTAGCCAAGCTCGCATCTGATTGGTTTCTTGTTCTGCCCTGCCTCCGCCACTTCAAGCCTCTGATTGGCCTACAATAATGTCAGTTGCTAAACGACCCGCCTTCCCAAGCATACCGACGTTTTATTGGTCAAAATAAAAAATGTCTTCCTTCTGATTGGTTTACTTTATCACGTGGGTTTCATTTTCCAGGAAGTTCAGTTTCCAAAACAATTAGCATCAAGCTAGCATGAATGTAAGTACAAAAATAAATCACGTTTCCTTCAAAATAATCAAAATACATACAATACGCTTTAACTCAAAATATAATATAAAACTCAATATAATGACGTGTGAGTATGTATGACGTGGTTATGTTGAAACTATTGTTATTTAGTCACGTGTGTTCTTTAGCGCAGAGTTGCACACGCTGTTGTTTAGATAACATTGATTTGAAATAGACAAGGAAATTACACATTACACATGGACTGGCTTTACGAGCATCTTTCTGCAAAGTAAGTATTTGTGTTTATTGGGAAAATGCCTATGCTAAAAAACACCAATCTATTTTATATGATTAACGCACTTACTCGAGCAAATCGCTGTATAATGTCTTGAAGTAGCCAGTTACAGATTTGTATTGGTTGCATGATTAGTTCAATAATATTCCTCAAAAAACTACCTGCTCTTATTCTTATGATTGAATCGGGTAAGTTCACCTCTGCGTGTTTTAACCATAGACTTGTAAATCATTCTCAGTATTATGGGATAACACAGAACGGAAATAATACTGCCTGCCTAAACCTGTTTATTCATGCATTTTATATTTTCAGGGATCACACAATGTCAGTGTGGTTGTATGTGACTGTGCTCCTACTGTGGACCAAGTCAGGGGGATGCATGGAAAAGGCAAACACATCTAATCTCATCGAGTTCACTGCTGCAGACTTTTATGAGAGGCTTCATTACGGAAAGATGATTTTTATGTACTTCCAACGCGAAGGTAAAACATTTCTAATTGCCAACCACATAGCATTTGCTTTCACTCTAACATTATAAGAATATGCCTGGAATGTCTTGAGCAGTTTCTCCTTCCATATCGCTGTTCCTGTTGGAGTTAGAGAAGTCGGCGGACATGCTTCAAGATTATGGGGTGCTGGTTGGGAAGGTAAGTTTTGATTTGAGCCAAAATATATCGCAATTTCCTGTTGACTCCATGTTCGGCTCATATCTGTAGGTGAACTGTGATAAAGAAATGATTATCAAATATTGCTCAGAGGACAAAGTATCACAAACAGCTTTCTTATTCAGGTATTGTATTGCAGCTAAAAGTGAACTGTAATATCAAACACTATCACATTGTTCTCTTTCTTTAGGAGTGGCAAGGAGTTTCTTAGCTTCGACCTGGACACTGTGTTTGATGTTAATGCTATTGTCTCAGAAGTCTTGTTGTAAGAAGTTCAAACACTCAGTACTATTGTTTTTTTAGACTTGCAAATTTGATAAATAACTGGCTTTTTGTTTGTGTTCCAGCGCAATTCTGCGTGACGAGGTCAGATATGTCCACACTGAAACTGACCTGCTGGCGATGGAGAAGAGTGTTATGGGGTTGAAAGATATTGTGTTGGCTTACGTCAGTAGCCTGGGAACTGAAGGTGTTGGCAACATTTCTGAAGTTGATATTTCATGTTAAGATATCAAAAGTTAGAGGACAGAAAAGTTAGCATATTCCATCTCTATCCTAGAACACAGGTCGATTATGGAGACTGCATTTGTGTATGGATCCAAATACCAATTCATCCTAATAACTGGAGGTCCCGTCCTAAAGCACTTGGGGTAAATTTAGGCTTTTTTACACATTTCATATACAGATATTTAGACGTATAAATACTGTAATTACTGTTTTTTTTTACCTAGCATAAACAAGTCACCCCCATCTGCTGGAGTTTGGGTGCTACACTGCAAAGACCACCTGCTTTTAAAATCAACCAAATCCAGCCAATGTCCTCAGACCCGGATGAGAAAGCCACTGTCCACACTCAACCTTCACTCCTTCTTGCAGCTTATAAACGCTCCTTTGCTGGTGGAGAAAGCATAAATGATATCTTGTTTATCCCACAATATGGTACTACAGTATATTATATGGTATTCTTTCTGCTCATTTACCTAGACTGAGATGCGTGAAGAGCCATCCAGAATAACACCGTCTCAGTTTGCCCCTCAAGTGTTTTTGTTTGCACATCCTGAGACTGAAGATATGGACAAGGAAACAGCTCAAACGTTGGCCTTGGAGCTCAGAGGACTTGCCCAAGTGCTGCTCATACACAGGTATAACACTATGATATTAAGATAAGTTGTTTTAATGTATGCCCTTGCCCTTTTTCACTGGTTCTTTACCTCGGCAATACCACCCAACATAAACCAGATCAACCAGGACTTTTCTGGGTCTAAATTTGCGGCTAATCCATTGGACTACACTGGTCTTATAGTCAGAACAAGCCTAAATCCATAATAATTATTTTGTATTTTTCAACCTTTTGTAATTAACATTTAGGACAGAACGAAAACACAAACAAACAGTGATGTCTTTGTCGGCTGTCTTAATGCGTCTAATGTCATTTTGTGGGCATGACTTTCACATTTTTTGCTTGAGGCTTCGTTTGATAGTAATCTTCCCAGCATCTTCACACATATTAAATCATTTTTAGTCTTTTCAAACTTTTAGTGTTGGGGTATGAGCGTCTTTCCATTCACTTTAAAGCCAGATCTTATTTGAATATGAATACTGCGCTAATGGATAGTACTGTATGAGTGGAATTTTTTTGCTATACAATTTAAATACATCTCAGTAAAACAACAAAACTTAGTAGAGAGATGTACATTGTGGCTAACACGACTTATTTTGTCCTAGGGAAGGTCCGTCTGTTCACACGCTAAAACAATACAATGCTGCTTACCGGATGCCTGGACAGGTACCGAACCGATAATCATGTAATATTCATTCGAGCTTTGTGAGTTTACATGCGCTGTACTTTCAGGAATTGGAGTATTTGACCTTACACAGCATCCGAGACGTGCAGGACCTATTCACAAACGAGGAGTCCCAAATAGAAGTCGAGGCAGATGAAGACGATCATTTTGAGGACGAAGACATTTTAGGTACAGTATGCCTTCAATATTCTTATGTATTGCTATCTATGATTCTGGAACTAATTCTGTCCCATAATTTTTGGCACCACTCAGACCAGTTGGACGACGAGGTTGCTTCCTCTGTGTATCTCAATCGAGGGAACGAACTGGACATGGACATTTTCACTGAGCTCAACACTCAGAATTTTCATAGTGTAGTAGCACAAAGCAGCCTGACGGTGGCACTGTTCTACCTCAAATGTGAGCGCATAATCAAGGTACATCCATTCCATTCTTTCATATTAATGACATTGTTTTCTCGTGCTATCACCAGGGGATGCTGTTTCGATGGCTTTTCTCGAGCCTTTTGTTGAAGTAGCAGAAAGCCTTTTGGGTAAGTGTGATTTAAAGATGGTAAAATCTAAATGTTAACAAATCAGACAACAACATGTCTTGATCTAATTAAAAGACATGTTATATTTTGCATACTTGTAAGAATCTCTGTTGTTTGTGTCCTTGTGGGGTGAACTAATGATAGAATGATAGAACCAAGTATTTTGTAGTTTAAAAGTTAGGCTTCTTAACTGGAGAAGCAGAAGAGGAGTTTTTCCTCGCCGATGCAGGAGGATCTAAGGACAGTGGTGATGATCAGGACACTCGACATTCAACAATGTTTACTGTATAGACATGGGTCACCTGCCCCTTATGGACCAATGACCCCAAGTTTTTTTTATCATTGCATTTTGTGTGTTTCAACCATAGACTGTATATACTAACGGACGTCACGCCTATCTCCGCCGTTCTAACTAATGGGCCAAAAATTAGGCTGTACTGGAGTGATTCAAAATGGCCGCGGGGGCTGGAAAGTGTGAACAAACTCACAGCGACTAAACTAGACTGGTCCAGAACACCCCCCTCAGCATTGACACACATGTGGAACGGAGCTTTGGGCCAAGAGCCACTTTTGGACCAAGAGCCACTTTTGGACCATCTTGTAAAGACGTGTTCCAGAGGTCTGCCAATGCTATATGTTAGCATTGGCTAATTCTTATTCCGGGTCCACCCCCATCGGCCCGGGATGGTATTGCAGCATGTCAGCGCACGTCAATTTGGCCATTTTTGAGCCAGGACCCGCCCACACTGGTTTCAACTCTTTGATTATCTTCACTTTCTGCTTCGTACCCGCGTTAGATCGTAAACGTAGAAGAGGCATAGATGCTACTACACCTGCTCTTTTGAATACCTCATGAGATAACCAGCTGTTAAACTTTCAGATGCCGGTGCTGACGATGTGCAGATGTGTGCGGTGAATTGTGGAGAGTGGACAGATCTTTGCGCGGCGCAGTCTGGAACGTCCGAACGGCCGCTTCCCTTTCAGCCAATCACGGCCTTCCCCACGGTTTTGATTCTTCGACCACAAGAGCCGGCCCTGCGCTACAAAGGGATGCTATCGAGTCAAGCACTGTACCGATTTGTCCTACTGTAAGATTAAGATTACAACATCCGTTACAATCGTTCATAGTGGGGAAATTTCAGTGTTGTATCCCCAGTTAGAGAGCAGTAGGAATGAGAAGCACACAACATAAGAGAACAATAACTCAATAGTAAAATACAGTACAATCTATAACTTTAGCATAACAACTATAACTTCGACAATTTATCAAAACACAAGATATCCAGTTTAGGTTTATTTGATGCTTCAACTAGAAAACAAACTTCCTGTTAATACATTTGCAAACTCTGGCTAATCAAAACATCAAACATTTTATCTTCCAACCGTTCCAATCATATCATCCCAACCAAAACATGACCCTGGCCCTGATATTTCTTTTTGACTGTGGAATCCTATGAGAGCCATTACACCCTGGATTTGCCTCTGTAAACGATTGAAAAATATGTTTTAGATTTGAAATGCTCTGTGGGGGATTTTCTCAGCGAGCAAGAGGGTATATATTTTCAGTTACATATCCTCCAGTGGACAGAGGGATTTGACCCTGTCTTTTTTATGGAGGGCAGTCATGTTCTCTACATCTCTGTAATCTGTGTTATCAATCCTGGATTCAGCACACAAGGTTCAGTCCGGACATTAAAACACATTAAGATAAACTAGACCGGAGGAAGTTTAGACTCACGGTGAAAAGATATGTTTGTTTGTTTTTCTGATTACACTGATTCAGAAATTACACTGCAAAAAATGATAAAATTTGAGGGAAAAATAGCTTGAGTCGAGTGGTTTTTATCTTAGTTTGACACATTCTGACTTAAAACAAGATGGGACTAGCCATCATCAAAACAAGATACTGTTGCTATATTTTCTCATTCTTTTAAAGTTCTTCCATTCTTTTTAAAAACAAGATCAAATTACTTGTCCCATTGTTGAATCTTGTTTTCAGAATGTGCTCAAATTAGGATAGAATTTGCCGAATTTGAGCAATTTTTCACTTTTTGCAGTGTACACATTTGAATTCAGCTAATTTTAGTTCAAATAACTGACCTAACAGGTGAAGACTGTAGCCTCGGACCATAGACTGTAGCCTCGGACCATAGACTGTAGCCTCGGACCATAGACTGTAACCTCGGACCATAGACTGTAACCTCGGACCATAGACTGTAGCCTAGGACCATAGACTGTAGCCTAGGACCATAGACTGTAGCCTAGGACCATAGACTGTAGCCTAGGACCATAGACTGTAGCCTAGGACCATAGACTGTAACCTAGGACCATAGACTGTAGCCTAGGACCATAGACTGTAGCCTAGGACCATAGACTGTAACCTAGGACCATAGACTGTAACCTAGGACCATAGACTGTAGCCTCGGACCATAGACTGTAACCTCGGACCATAGACTGTAGCTTAGGACCATAGACAGTAACCTCGGACCATAGACTGTAGCCTAGGACCATAGACAGTAACCTCGGAACATAGACTGTAACCTAGGACCATAGACTGTAACCTCGGACCATAGACTGTAGCCTCGGACCATAGACTGTAGCCTCGGACCATAGACTGTAGCATCGGACCATAGACTGTAACCTCGGACCAAAGACTGTAACCTAGGACCATAGACTGTAGCTTCGGACCATAGACTGTAGCCTCGGACCATAGACTGTAACCTAGGACCATAGACTGTAACCTAGGACCATAGACTGTAACCTCGGACCATAGACTAGCCTCGGACCATAGACTGTAACTTCGGACCATAGACTGTAGCCTAGGACCATAGACTGTAACCTAGGACCATAGACTGTAACCTAGGACCATAGACTGTAACCTAGGACCATAGACTGTAGCCTCGGACCATAGACTGTAACTTCGGACCATAGACTGTAGCCTAGGACCATAGACTGTAGCCTAGGACCATAGACTGTAAGCCTAGGACCATAGACTGTAGCCTAGGACCATAGACTGTAGCCTCGGACCATAGACTGTAGCCGAGGACCTTCTTGCTGAGAGTGAGAGTGCTCTGCCACCGCACCATCCAAAACTGCTCTTAGTTTACTCCAGTGTAAAACATTTATAAACGAAACATTCCTTGTATCTTAGTCATCTACACCATCTTCTATAAAGCTGTGGGGTCACGTTTACAACCATGAACATAAATAATTTAATTTTGTGAAGAGAAAACATTACATGATTCTGTTCAAAGAATAGAAAACAGAAAAGATGGTAGTATTATAAAGTATTCTTCACACACTTTTGTTGCAATAGCAGCAGCAAGTCTTTTGGGATATGTCTCTACAAGATTTGCCCATTCCTCTTTACAAAACAACATGATCCATCCATCCTTTTCCTCCGCTTCATCTGTTGCCGGGTTGCAGGGGCAGCAGTCTAAGCAGAGACGCCCAGACTTCCCTATCCACACACACTCCACACACACTTCCTCCAGCACCCCAAGGCGTTCCCAGGCCAGCTGAGAGACATAGTCCCTCCAGCGTGTCCTGGGTCTTCCCCGGGGCCTCCTCCCGGTGGGACGTGCCCGGAACACCTCCCCCGGGAAGCGTCCAACAACATCAAATTAGATGCATGGCGTTTGTTAGCAGCAGTTTTAAAGTCTTTCCACAGATTTTTCTATTGGATTTAGGCGTTTAGACACTGTATCTATATATACTGTATGTGTTATTTATTCTCACAGAAGCCGAGTCTCTTCTCCTCTTGTATTGAACGACGCTGATTTAACCAAATTTATGAGTGGCGCTATCCATCCTGACCTACAGGGACAGGCCGTAGACAAAGTCCTGGGATTATTTCACACGCACGCACAGCCAGGTAATCATTTGAATAGACATTGAAACCTTATCTCTTCTGCAAAGTATATCTGCATTATCTAACCACTCTTATGTAAAGCCCATAGAAATGTCAACTGAACAAATCTGGGAACATCCAGTTTGTGGTTGTGTTTTGTGTGAATAATGCGTTTGTTTATTGCTTCATCTCTTGGTGTGTTAGTGTTTGTTGAAGCAGCCAGAGCTCAGAGGGGAGAGCTGCTGACAGGGCTGCTGACGGATGGCCTGGCACTAAAATGGTAACTCATCTTTCAAGGTCCCTCACCTCAACTTTTGGATTTCAATATTTGCATACACTATACAGCAGTGTTGTGATCTGGTTCTCACACTGCAAACAGTGATTCAAAATAAGTCTAGAATTGCCCAAATTTGGCAAAAATGTATCTAAATTTAAACGCATTCTGACTGCCTTAAAAGAAGCAAAATGAAAATGTGACAAGCAAAATAATCTTGTTTAAAAACTTACAACAAATGTTTCCATTGGAATGAGAGAATAAAGCAACAGTTATTGATCTAAAATTTAGGCTTTGTCCCATAACTAAGAATTGGCTTTGGCTCATGGTGCAAACTAGTTGTTAGTGTAAAAGGTAAGATCAAGCATAAATTAAAATGAAATTGTATAATTACTACTGTATTAAGATTAAGAGATCCTTTATTCATGCCACAGAGGAGACATTTCAGTGCACTAAGAGGCCTTTACAACTTAAAACCTAATTTAGAGATGAATTGTCAGTAGAGCAAAATGTGGAGTATATATTTTTATATTCATTTACCATTGTAGCTCAAGTAACTTTAGCTAAGTGGTCTTTCTGTGTTTAATAAATGTCTTTATTCAGGGCGTCTGATCACCAAACGGCGCTTCCTGCTGTTTTGGTTTTCCCATCGTGGCGGACCGACGGATCCCCCTCCGTGTTGCCCCTCGTCCCCTCCGCCGAAGAACTGACGTCCCTCATAAACACTGCTCTTCTCCAGCCTGTGGTAAATCTCATTGTAAACACATCCAGCCTCCACCACAAGATAAAAGCCTCTGAAACGTCCCTCTTTGCTTACACCAGCTCCAAATATGCTAATAAAACTGCTATTAATATATCTGAGCGGACATTTATTTTGAAATGCGTACAGTGACGTGAAGATTGTCTTATCGAGCACATAACAAGCTCCAAATGTGAATCCATGTGTTTTAAGTATGTTTTGTACCTCTACCTTTGCTCTTACTTCTAAACAAATGAGCAGAGCTCATGCTAAAACTGAATACATACTGTATTTACATAAATATATAGATGTACGTCCCTGAAAGTGAAATAATGTTTTATAATGTTGCTTATTTAGGTTGGAGGCTCTTGGTCGAGGAGTTGATTCAGTCATTCCATATGTGGTAACTCTGACTGAATGTATTATTATTAGGTTATGGATTTCTGCTTGCGTAATGTCTGGAATATGTGTGGAAGATTATCAAATTATCAAAATGATATATATGAATGGGTATGTGGGGTAGAAGGCTTAACAAGCAGGTGCTCTTCAAAGACAGGGCAGGCTAAGCAGACATAAGATATCAAAAAAATGTTTCCACCAAAGCGGTCTTCGTCTTCGTCTGCCCGACAAAGACCTCTTTGGTTGAAACACGGAGCAGTCCATTTTAACAAAGGACTTCTACAGTTTTTCACTTGAACAGACTTCCTCTGTTTGATATCCTCTGATATACATGAATCTTGAACATTTAAAGCTGTGGTATCCAACTCTCTCAAACAAATGTCCTCTTGGCGTCTGTCGCAGATAGGACCACGCTCACTCAGCTAATCAGCTCCGAGCCCAAAGAGTCAAATAGTGGCTCACATGGCTCTACAAGTATGCACAAGACAACACATTTTCTGAATATAGAGACTGATTTGTTCACAACATTACACTTTTACAAGACGCTTTTTGTTAAACTTACTGCAGGTTTAAGTATAATGAGAGTATTTTGTTCCTCTGTGACTATGGATAAAGCAAAAGTCAATGGATGGAAGGATGTTGTCAATTCTTACCCTCTTGTGTAGATCAAGTGAATGTGTTAATAATCTTTTACAGTTGTTTTAAGGTGAGACACAATGTGACCGTTTCACTTTTACATACTTCTGCTTGTAACTCAATAATAGTTTCCTCTTGTGTGTTTGAAGTGAAGTATGATTCAAACATTTCTCACTCAGTGCTCATGATTGCGTTTTCCTCCAGGAGTTCTGCCTCTTTCAGCTCCTTCTTTGCTGATTGCCTTCTGAGCTGCTGTCGCGTCAGCAAACAGCACTGGTGTGTGACTGCCACATATGCCACCGGAGTTTCAGCTTACACACCACGTTTCTAATTCAATATTAACTTTCATAAATTGCATGTAACCCCTGTGGTCCCCAGCCCGAGCTCACCGTGGCCTCTCTCCCGGCCCTCCTGTCCCGGGGTCGGCCTCTGCTGCTGCTCTTTGTGGGGGAGGAGGAGGACCACATCGGACTGAAGCAGAACAGGGCGCTGGTGGCCGAGCTGGAGACACTGGTGCAGACGGGAAGGACGGAGATGGAGGAGTACTCAGCCTGCTGGATCCATTTGTGCGTATCCGTAACTGTTTTGTATCAATTGTGTTTTGGTTGTAACATGAGACGTATGAAATGTAGAAGGACGGTCAAATTATATCCAGGCAAAACAAAGCGTCTTGTTACCAGAAAGATGTCCATTTACTCGAAAAGCTCGTTTGTGTTTTGTATTTGTAGAGTCTGTACTATGTTAAATATGTCAATGCAAGTGTGTTTAAGATCAAGACGTCCGTTATGCTTCCCACATTGTGAAAATCAGTCAGTGTTGCGTCACCGGTTACAGAACTGCAGGAGTGAGGAGGACACAGCACAAGATTAATGAACAATTACTCTATTTTAAAATTTAATTACATCTCCAGCTTTACATAATGAAGTCTAAAATACTATATATGCAAGTGCAAGAGATGTATAGATGTAAGTTTGTATCGCACACATTTTCACAGAGAATAATTGAGTGCTGGATCCTTGCTCTGTTGGAACTAGTTTTGGTTTGTAGCTCATCTTGTTCAGATAGAAAATAGAGAGGACCACCCTCACCTGACATAATTATTTATCAACAGAAAAAGTTAGGTTCCCCAGCTTTAAGAACCATCTCTTGAACCTGTGTTTGTGAATGAGACAGTACAATGGGACCTTCTGTGGTGCCATGAAGAGCAAAGTTGAACTCATCTGTTTGACCTGAGCTCCTTTGTGCCGGTGTCTCAGGGGCCGGACTCCCGCTGGGATCCATGTCCTTGGATCGTACCTTGGCTCGGTGCCTCCTCTGCCCTCGCTGGTCCTCACCCACAATCCATCAGCGGCGGAAGTCTACCAGTACCCCCCACAACAGCCAATCACAGCGGCCTCAGTGCTCAGGTGGCTGCGGCTGGTGCAGGAGGGGAGGGAGCAGGCGGCAGGTGAGGGCAAACTCTTCAAATGGAAAATAGTCTTTCTCAGCATGGGTTCGTAGCATAGAGAAACGGCCTTAGAGGACTTTGAAATATTGAGCTGCCATTGAACTCTTCTTCATTAAGATAAAGATGGAATTTGTATTAAATGTATTATATTAGTTGTGATATACTTAGTTAGAAGATTTTATTTTTTATTTATTTATTTATTTGAATTTAGGACAGTACATATTCATCAATGTGACTGCAAACTGCGTCAACATAAATATGCTGGAATTAGCTAAATTGCTAAATTGCATCCATTGTCCTAAGGCAGGTAAGAAAAAGTAAAAACAATAGTCAAACAAGCAAGACAAAGAATTTAAAAGAGGAGAGAAAGAGCAAGAGAAAGTCCAAGGAAGAGCAGATTATCTACGGGAGCTTGACTGGTTTGATTTCAACCAATGTTTGAGGTTTAAATGTTTGGTAGGTCCCACAGTTTCGAATGTGTTCCGACAAAGTGTTCCACAACGTTGTGCCTCTGATGGACGCCACCATTTAGTCCTGCGCCTTTGTATGTTACAGTCTCCTCTGGTTAGTGCTCTGGTTCTGACTCCACGGTTGTTGTTTTTTTACTTGGGCTGTCAAAATGATTGCGTTAATTACCGTTTTCATTAACGCGTTAAAAAATAATTAACACATGTCCGAATGACCCGCCCATTTATAATAATATCACTCAGAATGCCACGGACACGTGCGTGTGTGATGGTGACAGCGATAACGTGGTCATATAATACACACATATATATATATATATATACGCACAGGGGCCATTCTCTGATGTTGTGTGACACACGGAGGAGACACGCTGAAATGCAACCAAACTCGCAAAATTAAAGCTGGGGTACCTACATTTTCCCTTTTCATTAACAGCTCTTGTTGGTTGTACCCAAAAGTAGAAGGTTGTGAGCAAGTCAAACAGATTTAAGTACATTTGGTCTGAATAACAATGTGTCATTACACTTGAAAATCTCATTTAACTTCAATTGGAGTGGATTTGAAAAAGAATGTTAAAAATGCCATTAATCGTGAATTAACTCACCATTTCTATGCAAAAACTTAATCGTTTGACACCCCTATTTTTTACATATAAAATCCATTAAGGGAGAAGGAGCAAGTCCATTTAATACTTTCAAAATAAGGCAAGCATCCAGAAACTTCTGATAACTCTCAAAATCTAAAATGTTATACTTACTTACAATGTTACAATAATGATAAAGCAAGGGCTTCCTTTCTAATGTTTTAAGTGTGTAACTGAAACAGAGACTTGAGTGGCTTCAAAGTGCTCTCGGACGTGTGGGACCAAGTCGTGTGGCAATCATAGCGTGCATGTAAGCCTTTGCTGACTCTACCGTCAAGTAAGGCCTTATAAGTTTGAAGTTTGCCAAGTTAAATTTGATAATATTCTATATTATTTTGACGTGGTCTTTGAAAGTTAAGTTTGAAACAAAGATAGAAAAGACTAGACCTTGTAATCTGAAAGTCTTGCAAGGATGTCCTGTCCACACATGTAAACAGTTCCCATCTTAAGCCAAAAAACACATGATTTAGTTATGTGTTAAGTTGAATGAATTTGGATCAGATGCACGTTGCAATTCTCACGGCACAAGAAAAGGAATGTTTTGAGTGAAGAAATAAAGCCTCGCCTTTACTTACTGACAGGAGAAGTGCGTTCATCCATGTCCCTCTCTCCATTACAAACATTTGTCCATTCTACCAGATTGACAAAGCATTACGCGTAAAGCTTGCATACTTTTTTTTCTGTTTTTCCATCCTTCCTCTCATGCAGCCATAATAGCCGCCTTACCGTTGTGGTTTGCCGTACTTAAATCTGTTAAGCTGCCGGTGTCATGCTTTTCTCAGCTCCGATCCCCTTCTGTTTACTCTAATTGCACTCTTTAAATAGTGTCTAATTTTGGCACCTGCTGTTAAAGTGCACTCAACGTCTGCGTACACGTCCATAAAACCCAAAACAACACATTGCTGCCGTTTTACACTGTCGTATCCTCACCTCACAATGCATAGATGCTAAAACATTAGTGGATTTACAGCTGCACAGTGGAAAGGGGCCACGCTTCGCCCTTTCCTCCTGCTGCGATTGGGTGTCGACCAGAAGCAGCGGTGACTTTGAAACAATAGCCGTGTCTTTTGAAAGCAGATAGGACATTCCGACCGCACTAAATTTAACACCGCAACAGTGATTAATCATTGTATGCAAACTTCCTTGATGGTTCTCCTCACAAAAGAGATAGTTTTGTGACATCACTTGGAAAGAAGTAGTAGGACACTTTGTAAATCGCGCCGACATTGATGGAGGATGGTTTAAACAGAGATTTTCCGTAAATGAAGATGGATAGTTGAGACGTCACATCTGTAAAGAACCAGATTTAATCCTTTTCCAGTGTATTCCACGTTTGTTCCCCGTTTGACTGAGACCAGAGAGAGATCAGAGATAGAGACCAGAGAGAGAGACCAGAAAGAAAGAGAGATAGGAAAGAGAGAGACTAGAGAAGAGATAGACCAGAGATAGACCAGAGATAGACCAGAGAGAGAGACCAGAGAGAGAGACCAGAGAGAGAGACCAGAGAGAGAGACCAGAGAGAGAGAGACCAGAGAGACCAGAGAGAGAGACCAGAGAGAGAGACCAGAGAGAGAGACAGAGAGAGAGACCAGAGAGAGAGACCAGAGAGAGAGACCAGAGAGAGAGAGACCAGAGAGAGAGAGACCAGAGAGAGAGACCAGAGAGAGACCAGAGAGAGAGACCAGAGAGAGAGACCAGAGAGAGAGACCAGAGAGAGAGACCAGAGAGAGAGACCAGAGAGAGACCAGAGAGAGAGACCAGAGAGAGAGACCAGAGAGAGAGACCAGAGTAAGTTATTAGAAAAGAGAGACCAGCAAGACACCAGAGAGTTTCCTAAAAAACTGCCCTAAAATGTAAAATCAATTTTTGTCCATATGTTAAGCTCCTGTGGACTCACCACCTGCAGAGGGTCAGTGAGGGGCTGGTGCTATGAGACTTGGGTGGCATCTCTGACTGCCACCCCCCTGACCCAGAAATGGATTAAAGGGTAGAAAATGGATGGCTGGATGGATGTTAAGCTTGCTTGGAACATATACTTATTTTGAAAGGGTGTTTCCATGTCACAATAGATTCAAGTAGATGAGTGGTGTGTGGTTATTTCAAATAAATTAATGATTTAATGCAGGTCAGTTTTGATTTGAAGCATGTCCCGGGTAGTTCTGAAGCAGTAATTTGCTATGTTTTTATCTGTTTTTTGTTTCCTTTCAATTTGACTCTGAATCAGTGTAACCTGGACACAGACCTAGAGTAGAGACAGTGCCCCAGAGCAAGCAGACTGTGCATCAACATGTGTCAGGAGCATAGACTGTAAATATTAACAAACGTAGTCACGCCTATCTCCTGCGTTCAAAAATTGCCGCAGGGGCTGGAAAATGTGTAAAAAAGCATCTGTGCATGTGTCAGCTGCACGAGCCTCATTCATTTAAACGAGAGACTTCTAAAGTCCACAGCGACTAAACTAGACTGGTCCAGAACACTCAGCATTGACACACATGTGGAACGGAGCTTTGGGCCAAGAGCCACTTTTGGACCATCCTGTAAAGACGTTTTCCAGAGGTAAGAAGATGCTATATGTTAGCATTGGCTAATTCTTATTCCGGGTCCACCCCCACAGGCCCGGGGTGGTATTGCAGCATGTGGTATTAGCCGGGACCCGCCCCCACTGGTCAGGAGATAACAACTTTGGCATATAAAGCAGTATAAGGCGTCCAACACTTGGTAGAAGTTGTAGAAATGTCCAAAGAACCAGCTGCAGATAATGGAGGAATAACGGATTCTTTAAAATAACATTGTTCCGACTTCAAACTGTTTACAGCACTTTGTAACTCACCCCTCTTCCCTTTACTTACAGTACGTCTCATTTAAGCTAAAAGGCACTTGTGAAGACTTGTCCTCGGTGCCCCAGGCTCAAAATAGTCATTCGCTCATGTCTCATCCAACATTCCACACATTCTAAGAAAATAACAATTATCATATCATATCTTTGAGTAATTTAAACTGGACTTTTCTCTCTACAGGGACGTTGGCGAAGGGGAGCTGGCCTCCTGCTTCACCCTTTTATGATTTCCTGGCGGTGATGGATAAGAATGATCCTTCTTCTGCTCGGCAACAAATCCCCAAACAGGAAACTGGCAAAGATCAGAGCAGAGGAGGAGACAGAGAGGTGAATGTTGTTGACGATGTGACGGAAAAACAAACACCAGGACCAAACCAGCACACGGAACTCTGAGCTGCAGAAAAGGACAAAACATTTATTTATTTTACCAATATTTTTTGTTGTTGTACATTGACTCTTATATATGACTTTCCAATTGAAATCAAGTACATTTGGAGAAGTTTCAATATCCACTGTGCAAAAAGTGATAAAAAATGAGAAAAAAAATGCGGAAATGGCAAAATATGTCTTAATTTTAGCACATTTTGACTGCCTTAAAAACAAAAATTGCCAATGGGACAAGTTAAATGAAACAAATGCAACGGTTCTTCAAATAAGTCTTAATTAAATGTCTTGGTTTATGACAGTCAGAATTCAAGCAATTTTACCACATATAAGTTGAGTCCCTCCAACTTCTGGGTCTGGGTCTTCCCCTGGGTCTCCTCCTGATGGTACATGTCCAGAACACCCCAAAGAGGCCCAAATCTACCTCAACTGGCTCCGTTCAACATGGAGCAGCAACGGCTCTACTCCGAGCTCCTCCTGTGTGACTCACCTTATCTCAAAGGGAGCTCCCTCTTCACTAACTTTGAACACTAAAAACTAAATAATATTAAAAATTACATTAATATCAACATGAGCAGGACTTACTTCAAGCACTTTTTTCTTTTGGTTTTAAGGATTACGATAAAAACTGTTTACAATATTATGGTCAAGTTAATATGTTTTTCATGTTGTGTTGAACCAAAGACTGATATTGTGTATTATAAAAGACTAAAGCTTGTTTATAATTGATAAAAGGTGCGTCACAAGTTGTTTTTTTCCCTTCTAGCCGCTAAAGCAGACCAGGAGCAGATATGTATATATTTGACATTGAAGGAATGCGAAGAAGTTGTATAAAATTGAATTATTGAATTATAAGGTAAATATTCAAAATCAAAATGACACACTGTTAGCCAGGTCTCTCTGGTCTCTCTTTCTCTGGTCTCTCTTTCTCTGGTCTCTCTCTCTCTGGTCTCTCTCTCTCTTCTCTCTCTGGTCTCTCTCTCTGGTCACTCTCTGGTCACTCTCTGGTCTCTCTCTGGTCTCTCTCTGGTCTCTCTTTCTCTGGTCTCTCTCTGGTCTCTCTCTCTCTGGTCACTCTCTGGTCTCTCTCTCTGGTCTCTCTCTCTCTGGTCTTTCTCTCTGGTCTCTCTCTCTCTGGTTCTCTCTCTTGTCTCTCTCTGGTCTCTCTCTGGTCTCTCTCTGGTCTCTCTCTGGTCTCTCTCTCTGGTCTCTCTCTAGTCTCTCTCTGGTCTCTCTCTCTGGTCTCTCTCTCGTCTCTATCTCTGGTCTCTCTCTCTGGTCTCTCTCTGGTCTTTCTCTCTGGTCTCTCTCTCTGGTCTCTCTCGCTGATCTCTCTCACAGTAATAATTCACATCAGCGTGTTTGCGATATGGCATTAGATTACTTTTGGCATTACAGTAAGAGTCGTAAAAACAGACCACTAGTAAAAACATGTGATTGGAAAGCGTTTGTGATCTCCCGGGTGGTTCCTGAGGATTCAAACAGTGAGGATTCCAACCTGACGTAACCAAATAATCACGTTAATGTGTTTATAACCTGAAAGAGACCACAGAGAAAGACCAAATACGTTAAATGTATTTATGAGCTTGTTTTTTATGGAGGACTTTCTGGAAAGCCTCTGATAGGATCTTAATTGTGTCATCTGCTTCTTTTCACTGCCTTTCAAACGAATCGGTTAAGTTAAGTTGTTTACATCACAGCCTCTCCATCCAGGTGCTTCGTGCTTATTGTACAGAGCTTCTGTCAGTTTGGGAAGAGGGCTTACCCTTGGCTCTGACTGGCCGCCCGAGAAGTGGTGCAGGAGAGCACAGGCTTCAGTCCCAATGACGTGAGGGAACCATTATGTGTAGGATGGTTGTTTGCCTGATGCACCTCCAAAAAAATGTAATTGATTTTGTTAACGGGTTCAGGGTTAGGTTGTATCGTGCCGGTTTGGAATCTTCTCAAAGGAAAATGAAGCAAAATTATGATAGGGAAAGTGTTGTGCGTACATTTTTTCCAGGTGACAAAGTTCTTGTGCTATTACCATGGATCTATGATAATAACTGGATAGGGTATTGCTTGTTTATTGCTGAAGAACTCATGTGCTCGGGGGATTCTCGCGGTACTGCAGACTAAACAAGACTAAATTCACGTGGGCTACCCAGAAACTTTCCCCATAGAACTCAATGTAAATTAAATCAGCACGACCTCAGCTGACAGAGAACCTGACAGAGAACCTTCAGCTTTAATAAAGATCGGATTTTGTGGGGATTTTAGTGTCCCTTGTCATCCTGAACTTTTTTCTTCTTAAATCCTTCGGTTTTCTTTAAATCCACACTTTACTGCCACAAACTCTGCTCCTTTCCTTCCCTCTCTAACTCCCGCTCTGCTGCTGCTCTGATGAACTGCTTTGATTGGTCAGAGCGCGGCTGAGCCCCTCTGTACGCGTACATGAGACCTACACACGCATATTTGGCGCAAAGCATCATGGGAGATCGTCCACTGCGCAGAACCGGGAGGACCAGACGATGCCCAAATACAGTTTCCCATAGATCTTTGCGAGTTCCGCCAATATGTCAGCGACCGTGCCGTCACAAAGCGCCACTGAGCACAACCATTCATTTGAATACGCCGCCATCTTGGATCGCCGGGGCTTGGCAGTACCCCTGGTAAATTCTCCATTCCAAGCGAAGTATTCAGGTCCTTTCTCGGTTTTGCGTAAAGTGTCAGTATCTTGTGGAAACTCCGGGGAAGCGAAGTTCCAGTAAACTGTGTCATGTTACCTCGCTTAAACCATGTCATTCTCCTTCTCCTGGGCAGGTCGCTGACAGATCCATAACATTTTGCGGTAATGCCACATATCTTTTGCTGTCTATAACATCAGCGTGGAAATCGGGCTGATATTTCCATTTCAAGTGTATAGTTACATTAATTAGCTTATTATAAATGCACAATATGTTTCATACTTTCCCACCTCATGTCCAGTAATAATCCAAAAGGCATTAGACAGTTGCTGCGCCACATTTCCCGGCAGTTGGAGTGCAAACGTTTGGAGAATTGATTAGTTCTAAATGTTGGTTTTCAGATGGATTTCAGAGATTTTCTTGTTTGAAAAGTTGAGTGACTCTTAAGCCGGATTTGGCATAACTTATTTTGCATTTATGTTATTACAAGCCAGAGCAGAGAGAGATCTCAGCAAAATTTTACTTTGCAAATATCAAGTAAATCTTATGTCGTCAGTCAAATCTCAAGTCCAACACTGCAAAAAATGGTAAAATGTGGTCCTGGTTCAGCAGCTTTAGTCCTGGATCTACAGCCCGTCTGCCACTTTTCTCCCACTGGGTTTGGACTGAGGTCATGATTTTATGGACATTTATCAACATTCATGGACATTGGTCAACTCCCCCCGATGGACCAATACCAATGTGTTCTCTGATCTGTGTTGGCGATATCAACGTTTTTTTTAAGTCCACTGAGATAACTACTGTTGCAATTTAGGGTTATACGAGAATACATTGAATTGAATTGAGACATATTTTTGTATATTTTTAAAATAAGATCAGCTTTCCAAATATGAGCAATTTTTGACTTATTTTTGATCGCTTTTTGCAGTGTAAGTCTTCTACTTTGGTTCCAGCTCCTATTGTCAGTTTTGTTTGTCCTCTTGGTGGAAGTCTGTGCTCTACGAGTGCATTTCTGGTTTTTGTGGTCTTCCTGGTCAAAAAAAATTCTCAGTTCATTTCATCATATAGTGACATTCTCTAATCGTTCATAGTCACTAATTGGCTTTCCTGCGTGTAAAAGCCAGATCCTATCAGATGTCTGAGGCTAAGCAGGGTAGGGCCTGGTTTGTACTGTGATGGGAGACCTTTGAGAACTCCAGGTGCCACAGTGGGGCGGCTTTAAATTGCCAATACACTTCATCCACTTTGCCTAGAATGAGTCTGGTGTGTGTTTGAATGGTTGGTGGTAAGAATAATAACATGTGCGGCGTCTTTGACTGTCCAGAAAACGTTTTTTTTATCCTCATTTTTGCTGCTTTAGTTAAAACTGGGACTAAACCCTCCACCTAACTCGCAGCGCCTCAGACTCGTTCCACTGTAGTGTAAAATTAAACTTGGAGATTCACGACAGGGTTTTGAGCGTTTTCTTTTTAATGCTTGCTCAGCTCTTGTCCATCAGCATCAAAGTCTAATCGAGTGGAGTAGCAGACGAGAATATGCCAAGTCCAACAAACGCTGCTTGAGTGTACTTTTGCAACTTAACAGTCTCCACTCGAGCTTTTCTGGGGATTACATTTTTGCGGTGCTGCCAGTCAGAAGCTGATGCCGTCGTGTGAGTGACGTTTTAAAATGGCTTCAATGGTATTTGGAGTCCAGGTTCTGTCATCTGAAGTGGTGTGAGTTTGACAAGGACTCCAGTAAAGTGAAAGAGCAGGCTTTTTTCCAGGTGAAGCCTCAGATTAGTCGAGTAGCAGAGAGATGAGGTAACGGAGTGTGGTGAGAGAGCTTTAAAACCGGTTCCACCATAAAGTGAAACGCTGACAGTCTTTACAGGGAAGCCTTGAATTGTTTGGAAGTTTTAATGAACTGGTTTATTCTACGTCATCTGAGAAATTCTATTCTTATTTTATGACATCATTGTTAGTGATGTACTGTCTATATGTAGTTGTGTCTACTACTGGACCACAGTTCTGTTTTATACACTAATAAAAGAAACTATGTACTCACACGCACAGTAAGTAATAATCTTTGTGTTTTTCCGATTTAAAAACATATTCTTTAATCCAGTATTACATTGGTAAACTTGCAGTGTTTTATTCTACGATTAAAGGACAAATAAAGGTTTATCTCTAACTAAGAATTGAATTAGCTACTTAGGATTTGCAGCCGTTTTCCAGCGCATAAAAAAAAGTTAGAGATTTTTTTTAATTTTTTATAATATAATATAGTGGGTTAGGGTCTTCTGTGCTCCTCATTACTACTGTTCTGTAACCGGTGATGCAACACTGGAATTTCCCCACTGTG